TGCGCGGGCCGCAATTCGCTGCTTCTGTGCATGTCCGTGACATCATTTTGCGTGTCTGCGCATGCACAAGCGGTGAAACCCAGAAGTAACCCTTTCCGGTACTTCCGGGTCGCCGCGGGACGCAACCTGAAAACGCACAACCGGAAGCAAACGTAACATGAGGTATGACTGTACAGGTATATGATTCTTATTGTTGGGCACATTTTAAATCTCTCTCTCTCTTTTTAAAGGGAGCTAGTTGTGTATGATGACCCCAAGATTCCATTATTTAATACGGACTTAGATAAACTGGAAGGAAAACCACCTGCAGTTCTTGCAACAGGTAATATTTTTTCAATTGTGCCATATATGATTCTTCAGCCATGCATGTCCCAATAATAATAATAATAATAATAAAATTAAAAAAAACCTTTTTTTTTGTATCCCGCCCTCCCTGGCCAAGACTGGGCTCAGGGCAGCTAACATCAAATATATAACATTGGTATAAAATCAAATAATAATTAAATTACCTCCTAAAAACAAGTCAGGATCAAATTAAAATCTAATTAGATGGTTTTCCGCAGAATTAGGGTCGGGAATAGTAAATGTTCATCAGGCCCAACTGAATCTGACTGCTTAATACAATGGTTTTTTAAAAAAATAAAATAAATGTTGGGCTGAAAGCTTTAAAAAGTATGTTTCTTCCCCAAAATTAGATATTGAGCTAATAGACAGAGTTAAAACAGCTTACCAGAAACACTGGTACTTTTGCTGTAGAGATAAACCTGAGCTGGCCTCTTTGAAGGGATGTGAGATACTGCTGATGGAGGCAAAGTTGCTGCCAAAACAAATCTCCCATTTGAGGGCAAATTGAAGACAGCCCTCAATTCTTGGTCACCTCACCCTCTTTTGCAATAGTTGCTCAAGGATATCAGATGCCTCTTGGCAAAAATCTGGTTGCCAGTCTAAAGACAAAAGGTAAAAAACATGGAGCAAGCTCTTTCAGGGGCAACTGGACTTGCTAGCAGACTGGTTTTGTTGAGTTGATCCTTCACTACTACCTTAGAGATGTTGTTGGATTACAAGTCCCATCATCCCTAGCTATAGTAGGACCAGTGGTTGGGGACGATGGGACTTGTAGTCCAACAACATTTGGGGACCCAAGGTTGAGACAGGCTGCCATAGAGAATTTTATCTTTTTTACTATAAAGGATGTGTGTGTACTCCTGTAATGACACCGCCCAGGGAACACCCATTATTTCTCCCTCGCTCTGTACATTCCCACCCAGGAGATCGGATTCCGAATTCCTGCAGATCTGTATTTCTCCCAGCCTGCATCTTGTGGCTTGATTTGCTGGGTATAATTCTGGCCTTTTAAACCAGCTTATGGTTATAGGAGGATTTACCATGAGTCATTGTGACCCTTTGCCCGAAAAGGGTTAGCCACTGGCTTAAAGGCATCTGGGGACGCGGGTGGCGCTGTGGGTGAAAGCCTCAGCGCCTAGGGCTTGCCGATCGAAAGGTCGGCGGTTCGAATCCCCGCGGCAGGGTGCGCTCCCGTTGTTCGGTCCCAGCGCCTGCCAACCTAGCAGTTTGAAAGCATCCCCGGGTGCAAGTAGATAAATAGGAACCGCTTACCAGCGGGAAGGTAAACGGCGTTTCCGTGTGCAGCTCTGGCTCGCCAGAGCAGCTTCGTCACGCTGGCCACGTGACCCGGAAGTGTCTGCGGACAGCGCTGGCCCCCGGCCTCTTGAGTGAGATGGGCGCACAACCCTAGAGTCTGTCAAGACTGGCCCGTACGGGCAGGGGTACCTTTACCTTTACTAAAGGCATCTGTCACTGTGACTTCAAATCTGTAAAGCAGGTTGAGAGATCCCACGGGAAGGAAGTGGCAGCCCACCTGAGTTGTATGTTTAACATTAAGATCTTGGGAGTGATGTAAACTGAGCGGTTGGAGGCAATGTGTCTCTGAATACCAGCTGCTGGAAACCACGGGAGGGGAGAGCACTCTCTTGCTCAGGTGCTGCTTCCAGGTTTTCCACAAGCATCAGAGAACAGGATGCTGAATAGATGGGCCATTGGCTTAATCAAGCAATCTCTTCTGAAGTTATTACGTCAAACTTAACACTGGTTGAAATTTTGCTCCTTTGGGGATAAAGTCATTTGTTTGGCAAACTCTAGGCCTGTTTGATAACCCGTGGTTTTTTCTCCTCCTCCTAAACATTAATTTACTTATGACAGAAGGCAAATACAAGGCTTTGAAGATGGACTTCTCTCTTCCCCCATCAACTTACGCTACAATGGCCATTCGAGAAGTGCTAAAAATGGACACAAGCATAAAAAACCAGACACAGTTAAACACAATATGGCTACGCTGAAGATCCTTAGCAGTGATTGGATAAAAGTTTTAACATGAAACTGGCTTCGTATTTACTAGTTCTATCCAGGCAATTTCTAATTAAAATTGTATTTTTGTATTAGCTTGAGGTATATGATTTCAAATTCGTTGTAAAATGGTGTTTATAAAAATGTAACTTTTGTTTTTAAATAATCTGAGCAAACACGGTGCTTGAGCTGTCTGCACAGTGCAGTTTTGCTGGCGTAGAAGAACATGGATGGCTTTGCTAGTATTTTCAGGTCTGCAGAAAGCGATTCTAAAACGTTTTCCCCAAATACAGTAGTAAACATGGCTTCATGAGTTTGGTACAGATGAAAACTGATTGCAGGCATGTGTAACACTGCAGTTCAGGAAATCTAATTAGAATAGGGTACTAATGAATGCATATTTATAACCAGTGAACAGATATATTTAGCCTTAAGAGTGCTGATAGGCTCTGCACTCACAACTGGCAGAATGTTCATGTCTTTTATGCGTACACAAATGTGTACACCTGCTTTTATTTGAGCTGTAGTTCATTAAACTTTTGTGTTGGTTTTCCACAACCTATTTCAGTTTCTGCTATGGGTAAAGAAGTGAGCGAACTATGTCGGAGTTTGTACCCTCAACAAACAAGGTTTAGCTCTATCATTTATGGTTTGTCTGTTGCTGGCAATGGATGAACTAGGAAAATCTCTATCCTGGCATGTCAGGATTAAATAGCCATTCTTAATTGGACAGCTATGATGTTGTACTCTGATTTTATTTCTAACACTCAACAAAAATATGTTTTCTACTGCTTGATTTATTAAAGAGTGTACTGAAACCTCTTCCCCCTTTTGTTCCTGTGCCCCTAATTTCTACCAATATTATTTATGTCTTTACAGGCAACTCCCCTTTTCTGTGGCAGTTGTGTTCCGGGTCATTGTGCGCTTGTGTGAAATTGCGTATAATCAGAATGCCCATTGAAAAAGCCTGCAAACACCCCATTCTGCCCCTGCCACGATCCGCCCCTTTTTGTGACATTTTTGAGTCACTTCCTGGTTTGGCATGATGCGTGTGTGTGTGGTTGCACACATATCGGACATGCCTAAAATGGTTGCTGCCTGCATTCGACTTATTTAGTCACTTACTACAAAAAAAGTTTCCAAGCAACTTACTAACAGGATAAAAGCCAAAAAGGCTTTCTTCATTATCACACAGCAAAAAATGTATTTCTGCACACATGCATGTGACAAATGTACAACTTTGGAAAAAGTTGTGCTTTTGCAAACAACTCCACAAATCCAAATCCATTTCCCCCAAAATTTACGTAGTACAGTGGTACCTCAGGTTAAGTACTTAATTCGTTCTGGAGGTCTGTTCTTAACCTGAAACTGTTCTTAACCTGAAGCACCACTTTAGCTAATGGGGCCTCCTGCTGCCGCCGCACCGCCGGAGCCCGATTTCTGTTCTTATCCTGAAGCAAAGTTCTTAACCTGAAGCACTGTTTCTGGGTTAGCGGAGTCTGTAACCTGAAGCGTATGTAACCCGAGGTACCACTGTACTGTAAAAAACAAGATACAGGTAGGTAGCCGTATTGGTCTGCCGTAGTCGAAACAAAATAAAAAAATTCTTTCCAGTAGCACCTTTGTTGTTGTTTAGTCATTTAGTCGTGTCCGACTCTTCGTGACCCCATGGACCAGAGCACGCCAGGCACTTCTGTCTTCCACTGCCTCCCACAGTTTGGTCAGACTCGTGCTGGTAGCTTCGAGAACACTATCCAACCATCTCGTCCTCTGTCGTTCCCTTCTCCTTGTGCCCTCCATCTTTCCCAACATCAGGGTCTTTTCCAGGGAGTCTTCTCTTCTCATGAGGTGGCCAAAGTATTGGAGCCTCAGCTTCAGGATCTGTCCTTCCAGTGAGCACTCAGGGCTGATTTCCTTAAGAATGGATAGGTTGGATCTTCTTGCAGTCCATGGGACTCTCCAGAGTCTCCTCCAGCACCATAATTCAAAAAGCATCAATTCTTTGGCGATCAGCCTTCTTTATGGTCCAGCTTTCACTTCCATACATCACTACTGGGAAAACCATAGCTTTTACTATACGGACTTTTGTTGGCAAGGTGATGTTTCTACTTTTTAAGGTGCTCTACTTTTTAAGATGCTTTTTAAGTAGCACCTTAGAGACCAACTAAGTTTGTTACTGGTATAAGCTTTCGTGTGCATGCACACTTCTTCAGATACCTTCAGGTCACCTTAGTTGATCTCTAAGGTGCTACTGGAAGGAATTTTCTCATTTTGTAAAAACCAAGGTTTCTGTTTTTAAAATGGATAAAGGCAAACTTAAAAAATGTTTGCCCCATGCCTATTCTCTAAACAGGCAAGGGGCAATCATTTTTCATCCTGTTCCTTTTTGTTCAAGCTAGAGCAACTTCACAATGTGGCAAGGAAATGTGTAATTCTTTTCCTTCTGGTTTAGAAATGGCCCATAAGAGTGACACTCATAATCTATTTACTAATCTACATAATATACCTTGCATCTTGTAGGTAGTGAGAGGTAAATATAAACAATAGGTATCATGAAGCCTTCATTAAGGAGAGGGTTTGGGGCAATAAATATTTATAAAGCCTTCCCCCCAATGCAGTAAAAGAGCTAAAACTGCTTAATTTTGGCTATAATGAGCCCAGTATTTATTTGACAAGCCAAATTCCAGAATTGCTATAGTGTTGGTGCAGTAGTTATTACACCAGGAAAAGTCAACTATATATAATGGAAATACTAGTTTCTCAAAAGTAAAATATGAAGTCAAGTAGCTTTAGATCAGAACACTGAAGATTAAAATGCTTCCCACATTTCAGCAAATTTTTTCATCCTGAGGGAAAACAAAAGGCAACAATTAGAATGTATAATGTGCATACCATTCACTGTTCACAATATACAGTATGAGGCTGAGAAGCATGCCTTAATTACATTGAACAGAGAAATTTCCTGCATGTATTTTGTTTACTCAACATCACTGCATGCTAAATCTGCTCTGGATTGTGCTCATTTTATTTTGAGTACCGAATCTTCTTCAAAGAATCTTTCCTCTGCGTTTGTTAATGCCACTTATTTCTATCACAGCTCACACTTTCCTAATTTTTCCACAGTAAACATGGCAAGTTTTCTTTAAAGTTAATCGCCTTCAAATGCCATAAATTTCAGTGGGAGAGATTTGAGCATTCACTTAACTCTCACTGAAATAAGTGTACCGGTAACTTAATGCTAACTGGCTAGTTTGTGTTCCCAAAAGCTGTAGCAGGGAAATTCGAAACGTCGTAGTTGGCATCTATCTGTCTTGAGAGACAATGGAGTGCGCCTCTGGGGGTGAAGTCATACCTCTGTGTTAGCAGCACCGAAGTGAACTCCCTGGGGCGCAAGCCTGAGCAGTGTGCCCAGCAGAGGTCCTGGGCTGCCCACACGACAACACCTTGCTTATGTGGTCCAAAGGAAACAAGGAGTTGCTGGAAGGAGGTGTACAAGACACCATCCAACTGCCTTAGGGACTCCAGTCTGGATTTGTGTAGGGTTTGCTCCTTAGCCTTTTCTTCTCCCACAAGATATCCCACAAAGCAGTGGAGGTTTAGGATCAGTTTTCCTGCACCTAGATGGGCTATCTTCCCAGGTTGAGGAGCCCTATCTGTCTCTCACTTCCCTCTGCAGCATGGGTAGGCAAACTAAGGCCCGGAGGCCAGATCCAGCCCAATCGCCTTCTCAATCTGGCCCACAGATGATCCAGGAATCAGCGTGTTTTTACATGAGTAAAATGTGCCCTTTTATTAAAAATGCATCTCTGGGTTATTTGTGGGACATAGGAATTCGTTTGTATTTTTTTCCAAAATATAGTCTGGCCCCCCACAAGGTGTCAGGGACAGTGGACTGGTCCTCTGCTGAAAAAGTTTGCTGACCCCCGCTCTACAGTATGTGCTGAAACAGCCTTCTTAACCGTTGGACCCACTATTGGTCTTGTCCTCTCAATCTGCCAGAGTCTGTCTCCACATGCAGAATAAGTTGCTAACTCATAGTCTACCCTCACCTTGCTTAGCTGTTCTCGGGGTGTGGCCGGCTGTTGCATGCAGATAGCTTCTAGAAGCCACAGATGAGAGCTGAGTGCAGTGTTGGGACCAAAGGTGGACAAAGTACCCCAGAAGGAGCATGGTATGTTCCCTGTCAGAGGTACTACTCCCCTAACACTCCACAAACCCCAAATCCATACATATTCCAATAATAATCTTGGAGGAAGGGCTAACTGGATATTTTAAAAATGTTGACCTACCCAGAGAAAAGCAGCAAGATTGGTAGAGTAGTTTTAGTTGCCAATGGTTCCGAAGTCCGCAAGCACTAATTGATTAAACATCTGAGCACAAGAAGATTGAACTACTTACCATTATAAAGCTTCAATCTCTTGGCCTACGTCCATTAGATTTTATACGTTTAAGCCCTATTCAAACATTACAAACATTTTGAAATTGGGACAGATGCACGAGGATGGTAAATGTAGGGAAACAATTCAGATCCATATCGGTCAATATAGCCCAGTATGGCAGGAGCAATAGAAAAATCTATAATTAAAAAAATTAAGCAGTTGTGCAACATTCAAGTTCAACTTACACTTTCCCCCTGAACTCCTCTGCTGTCATAATGTCAGTTTCATTATAAATTTCATCCTGGATACTTAATCCCAAAGATTCAAGTGCTAAAATATGGGAGAGGAGATGAAAGATGCTTAGAGAAATGGCTGCTGAAGCATACACAACTCTTATAGTCAGTGCATTCTTTTCCGTCTTCAGTTCTGCTTAGACCTTAACTAATCAGATGTGGATGGGACAAAAACCTCAACCCAGCAAGAAACCTGTACATGCACATATCCTCCCCTACCGCTGCATAAAGTAATGAGAATCACATTATACTGGGTTTATCTAAATGAAGGGGATCTTATGATGGAAGGCTGAATGAGGTCAGATCATAGATTAGGCAGATCTGACATTCAAACACATATAGTACAGCATAACTCGCATGCCGTTATCTCCATATAGCAAAGAGATACCCCTATCTTCTCATATCCAGTCTCTAAAAACAAGGCAGGTTTATGATGGGTGGGTGAGAAAGGAGAGATAGCTGCTAGAGAAGAACCCAGTACGCTTTACTGTCCTGAGGTTTTTTTACAGAGCATTGCTCCCAAATGTTACTTGTTTCCTTTTATCAACATCAGGGACAACTAACAAACAGTAGAAATTTACTTACTATAAATATAAGGATTCGTTGTTTTACTCACTAAATTTCTGTAAAGATTAGGCTGAGATAGGCTGAGAATAATCTTGAAGCTGTTTTTCTCATGCCTAAACTTGCCACATGTGGCCATAATAACCTACAGCAGGGGTGGCAATCTACTCACAGAGTTAAAAACTTGCAGTGATGGGTCAGGTCAAAGTTGTTGCTTTATCACTACCTGAAGGAGTCTCAAAGCAGCTAACATTCTCCTTCCCCTTCCTCCCCCACAACAAACACTCTGTGAGGTAAGTGGGGCTGAGAGACTTCAAAGTGTGACTAGCCCAAGGTCACCCAGCAGCTGCATGTGGAGGAGCAGAGACGCGAACCCAGTTCCCCAGATTACAAGTTTATCGCTCTTAACCACTACACCACAGAGGAAAGACCCATTTTTGGGGGGTGCATGTTGACTTTTAGGGGAGCAAAGTTGTTGAGTTTCTTTGGGGGGGAGCCACTTATCTACCACAGACGTCCACTGACATGCATGACCTACAGTATATGAAATGAGATGTTCATTTAAAAAAATGAAGGGCCACTAACCTCCTTTGTACTGTGGTATGGTTATGTAACCTTGGCCTGCAACGTCTAGCATTTCAAACATTGCGTCCACGTTTGACTCGTCCATAAGATAAGGAAAGTCCGTAGAAGTAATTTTTGCATACTTTATCTTCTCCAGTGTCTTTATCAAAAACTCTCTTGGTCTGTCTGTAAAATAAAAACACACATACATTCCCACTTCAACGTGTCCTGGTAGATATTCTCACTAAAACGTCTAATGTTTTCTAGGCATTCTGCAAAGGTTAAAAAAAGATGCAGGCCTTATCTCCAGACTTTCAGACTAGGATACAAAAAGAAACAGGTATGGGGTCGGAAGAGGAAAACAAGCTCTGGGAATGTTTCTACTATTGTTCAGAGGCAGCTGGGCACCATTGGTTCATTAAGTTGCACTTTTCCTGGGAACTGAAGCACTTACTGTATTTAATCATAATTGGCAATGGTTTTCATGACCATGTTGTGGGTTGGGAGAAACAAACCATGATGCCATGTTTGCAGGCACGGAAAAAGCCAAGCATCACGGGCAAGGTGAGTGGCAACTGGGCAGTGTGTGCTTGCAAACTGCTTGTTCACGGTAAGCTATTTAACCACGAATGCCGGCAACCACAAAGTTCCACTTGTGAAAGAGGGTTTTCCTATCGCCTTCTGTAGCATCACTGAAGTTTCTTCCGACACAGTTCTGTCTTCACAGGAAATAAGCATGAGCTCTCATCTACAAGTCCTTGCCCCTAAAACACATGTCAGCCCATGAACATTGTGAGGGGCTTGGCAACCAGGCCTCAATTCCACATGTTCTCTGTGGGTTAAACCACAGAGCCTCTTGGGCTTGCCGTTCAGAAGGTTGGCGGTTCGAATCCCTGTGATCGGGTGAGCTCCCGTTGCTCGGTCCCAGCTCTTGCCAACCTAGCAGTTCAAAAGCACGTCAAAGTGCAATTAGATAAATAGGCACCGCTCCCGCGGGAAGGTAAACGGCGTTTCTGGTGCTGCTCTGGTTCTCCAGAAGCGGCTTAGTCATGCTGGCCACATGACCCGGAAGCTGTACGCCGGCTCCCTCGGCCAATAAAGCGAGATGAACACCGCAACCCCAGAGTCAGTCACGACTGGATCTAATGGTCAGGGGTCCCTTTACCTTTACTAACTTCTCCACCAACTAAGTGCTGCTGGGGTAGAGGACTGAACTGGCACCCCCGCCACACATTCTCACATACAGACCCTCCCCACCAGGGAAAAATGGGTGAGCGAAGATCTTCATTGGGAAGAAGCAGGAAAGAAAGACTTAACATCCAGGATCTGCTGTCTGAGTGGATCCTGTCCCCTGAGGCAGTTGCCTCACCTTGCCTTATTGGTGGACCAGCCCTGTTCTTACATTTGCACCTGTGGCAAAATTATCCGTGTCACATGGCAGTCAGGACCAAGTGAGCTGTGGCTGTTGGTGGTAGGAAGCAGGCACCCAATTTGGAGCAGCACAGGTGGGTCCCCTACACAGGGTGCCAAGCCGAGAGGGGAGTAAATATGATTAACAACACCAAACAAACAACTAATAATAATAATAATAATAATAATAATAATAACCTATATTTATATGGGCACCTAACAAGAAGATCCATTTAAAAGCAACTGTACCAAAAGGAATTATTGTGTATAATGATTCTTTGGGTGGGTGGGTTAAATTCTGTCCATAGCTGTCAAAGTTTCCCTTTTTTAAAGGGAAATTCCCTTATTCCGAATAGGATTCCTCGCAAGAAAAGGGAAAAGTTGACAGCTCTGAATCCTGTCCTCCCTCCAGGCACCATATTCACCTGAGGGGACAAGAGGTTTGGCGTCTGGCATGGCCAGGGTGAGGGCGGGCTTACCTGGCCGGTGGTAGAGCAGCAAGGCGCTCAGGTTGTGCAAAAGCTCCGGGATTTTGTGCTGCGCCAGGTAAGCGCGACCCTCCGCTTCGCGGTCCATCGCCGTTGCTAGGAGACCGGAGGGAACGCTCCCGCGGCGGGGGGGGGAGGAGGGGCGGGTCACGTGACGAAAGGGCTTGGCGGAGGCGGACCAATAAGGAGACAGTCCTTAAGTCCCATTTATTTTAGTAGCGCGAGTACCGTCCATTTATTTTACCATTTATTTTAGTACCGCCCGCTCGGCTGCAGGAAGCACAGAGCAAGCGGGGCATACATGGTTGCAAGCCAGCAAGCAGCAGTGGGAGAGAAATTCGGAGTTAAGCCTCTTCTGAAGCGGAGACTCTCTCTCCCTTTGCTGAATTTGGGAAGCATCCTCCGCGGCAGCAGCAGAAGAGTCCCCTCGATCCAATAACACGGAAGCCCCAGCGGGCGACAACTAAAATCCGCTGCCCCGCCGCACCACAATCTCTGCTCGTGTTTTATGATGCACAGGAAGGACCAGGGTGGGATAATAATAATAAATTTCAGGGCTTCCCTACCCTTGCGGCTCCTTTCCCACTCAGCTGTCATGAGGGAGGTGGCGGCATTGCGAAGAAGCTCCCGGGGTTGCGAGGATGAAGCGGGGAAGAGAAGCATGGACTTGAGCTCCCTGGAAGAAAAAACTGGCATATAAATAAAGTAAAGATATGGGAAGAATGAGCTCTTGAGTGGGCGGTTTTTCTTTGGTTTCCAAAATTAAAAACACACAAAATTGGACCTAAGCAGGATATAGCTCGGTCGGTGGGAGCATAAGCCTCTTAATCCCAGGGTTGCGGGTTCGAGCCCCACGTTCGCCAAAAGATCCCCGCATTGCGCTAGATAATAATAATAATATAATAATAATTTATTATTTATACCCCGCCCATCTGGCTGGGCTTCCCCAGCCACTCTGGGCGGCTTCCAAAAGAATATTAAAATACTATAATACATCAATCATTAAAAGCTTCCCGAAACAAGATGACTCTTGTGGCTGCTTCCAAATATATGATTTTATACTTTGGGGGGGGCGATGAAGCATATTTTGGCTGCCCGGTCCCAGCTACGCTGACACACGCCGACAATTTAAACTCTTTCCCGCTCCTATCCGAGCGCAGAGACGGTTTTCCCAAAGCCAACCCGGAAGCACGGCGTTCGGGCGCGGGTCTAGCGATTTACAGCGCTATCTTGCGCAGGCGCACTGGGCGGAAGCTCTTGCGTCTAAACGGCGCGCCTCCGTGCCACGTGACCCCTCCCCCTTTCCTCGCGCTGCTTCCGCGCCGTCACGGCGCTGGGCTGCCGACGCGTCGACCTGGAGTGGGCGTGGCTTGAGCCCGGTCCTCCTTCGCGCCCCTCTGAGGGGACGGAGACTGCGTGGCGCTCGAGGCTCCAGCAGCGGCTCTTCTTCAGGTGGGACGACGGGGAAGGAGGTCGCTGAGAGAGCCGGGGTGGGGTGACCGCGTCTGGCCGGACATGGTGGACATGTGGCAGGGGGAGGCAAAGGGGTCGGTGGGCAGACAGGCTGTGAGGGGTCGGCCCGAGCAGTGCCCCTCTGGTGGTGGCCCCATAAATGTGATAATGTGTCACATTTAAAGGGAAGCTTTTAATGTTTGATGTATTACAGTATTTTAATATTTTTTTTGGAAGCTGCCCAGAGTGGCTGGGGAAGCTCAGCCAGATGGGCGGGGTATAAATAATAAATTATTATTATTATTATTATTATTATTACCCCTCTAAATCCTTGAGTGTGCTTCTAATAGAGAAGGTATGGTAGCCTGTTACTTTATGTTATGAAACTGCTGGTTTTGCAAGTTGCCGCCCCCCATTGGGGCAGAAATACAGCTAATATGCGAATCACAAAGATCCAGCACAAAGCTAGAACGTAAGTTGCTACGTGTAACACAGGTTCCCAACATGCACACTAACACAATGTAACAGAACGCTGTGGGAATCAGAAGTTAATCAGCAGAAATTGCCAGTGCTTATTGTGCATGTGTATTAAACATGTTCTCGAAGCTACAAACATGAGTCTGACCAAACTGCAGGAGGCAGTGGAAGACAAGAGTGCCTGGCGTGCTCTGGTCCATGGTGTCACGAAGAGTCGGACATGACTAAATGACTAAACAACAACAATTAAACATGAAATGAGGTAATGATGTTCAGTGGACGCTCAGGTTGCACGTTTGCAACCCACAGTGTCCGCAACCCGCAGCAGTGCGTCTGCACACGTGCAGGTTGCGATTCGGCACGATTTAGCGCTTCTGCGTATACATGACCGCCGGCATTTTAAAGGCAGATCGTTTGATATTGGCACACTTCTTAGTGTCAAATTATGCTGCTTGGTTTGTAATTTTCTGAAATGTAGATTATTTTTTTCCTGCAGAAAATACCCCTTCAGAGTGGGTTACAATGGAGATGGTTGAACCACTCTTGAACAGTGATGCAACTTCGGACCTTCAAGAGGCAAGTGAACTTTATTTCACTGTTTATCTATTTTCTAGATTTATACTTATAATATTTTTGCATTTCCAATCTGCCCATCCGAAAGCAGATGTAATGGATATTGAAAGACAGTGTTTCATTGCTCCTGAAAGCTGACATTGAAAGGAGGTGGACTCAAACTGTGCCTTTTTATCTCAGCAGGAGGCCAACAAAGAGGAAGGGCTAGGAGGAGAAACAGAAGATTCTGAAGACACTCAACTTCTATGGTGGGTACTCTCAGGGCTCTTCCAGACAACCTGTTTATTCAGCATTCATCCTGATTTCCATGCCCAAAGCTTATGCAGTGGTTAGATGCTGTTCAGTCCTTATTGAGCAATCACTGATTTGCTTGAGATGAGGTTATATAACAATGAGCATTTATCCAGATTTGCTTGCAGGGTGTTAACATGTCTGCCCATTAATCATTTGTTCATCTCACACTTTTCAGTCTGTTTCTCCATCACTTTCCAAACAGCAAAAGTTTTGAGTTGTTGTTTTTAAGTGGTTCTTTTCATACAAGGACAGCAAAGCATTTGCATTATATTAAATGCAAAAAGCATAGTTCTGGTATATGGCTAGGAGCAGATTCCAGTTTTGTGACATTGCAGTAATACTTTTTTCTCATTGAAAAAAGTCTGCAGTAATCTAGTCTGAAGAAAATAACCACTCAGATATTTTCCAGCTTATATTTCCATATTTTATAAAATTTGCACACCTCTTTCTATTAGTATTTTTGTTGAACTGAAGTTCAATTAATTTATCTTATTCCAAATGGACTTCACATTTGCTTTGCATACAGGTTAACTCAAACCTTTTTAACTCAGTACTGCAGGTGATCCAAAGATGGAAGCCCTGGACAGCAGAAAAGAGAGAATTGCTAGAGACCCAGAGAGCTGCGATATCCCTTTTTATGTGTCTGAATTTGTGGAAAGGGAGGTTGGAACAGACTACGAGTCATTAAGCAAGCTTGGCAGACTTATTGAACAGCTGTCAGAAAATAAAGCAAAGCTGGAAGAACAGGTGAGTTGCATATGTTTGGTTTTTTAAAGAAGTACATGAACAAAGTGCACCCTGTTCACAAACTTTGAGCTGTGTTGTCTGTACAAATGATGGGGAGCATAATCACTGATATTAGGGCTATGTCATGTTCACATATTGGGAATAACAATTCAGTATATTTAAGAATGCAGCCCCAATCTGTCCTTCAACATCTGGGAGGGATTTTTTTAAAAAAAACAGTTGCACAATTTGGCTTGCATGTAGATCATATTGAAAAATCATGTCCTATGCATGGATGGAATGCAGAACAGACACAATCCCATTCTGCTGACTAGTTGGAGGCCCATGCAGTTAGACCATTCTTTGCCATTTGCATCTTCACCATATGTTCTTCCATTTATCCGTGCTTTCTGTATCTCCTATGCTGTAGGTATCAGCCCCTTGTTTACTTCTGCGGTTTCATTTCTTTAATACAGTTGCTATATTCCTTCTTTTATGACAGTTATTTAGCTTACATAAATGAGAACATGCTACTAATAATGAATCAATTGCATTTGTTTCAGGGGAGGTGATATGGGGACTAGAGGAACTTTGGCCAGAGTCCAAAGCAGACTTAAATGCTGTCTGGGTTTTTTTATTTTCATAATTTCATAATTTCATTTCATTCCAGTTTTAGGTTGTTCAGGCTATTCATGCATATCTGAGAGTTGGTTCCACTGAACACAGTGGCCTAGTCGCCATGTCATATTAAACCATAGTTTAAAACAACCTAAAGTTTCTATGTTACTAGGTAGCGCTCATTTACATTAAATTCCTGCATTGTTTCTCCATGGATGAAACAAGCCAGTCTTCTAGTTTGTTTCTCTCCACACAAACCATGAGTGGTTGCCAAGACTGGCTCTGAGCATTGGCCGTGCTAACCGGGTTGTTGGGTGTTGAAGTCTAGCAACATCTGGAGACTCACAAGCTCCCCATCCCTGTTATAGATGGTCAGAGGTGTGAGGAAGCTGGGATTAATTCAGTCAGTAGGGCATGAGGCTCTTAATTTCAGGGTCGTGGGTTTGAGCCCCATGTTGGCCAACAGATTCCTTCATTGCAGAGGGTTGGACTAGATGACCCTCAAGGTCCCTTCCAACTCTACAAGTCTATGATTCTATGAGGTCTAGTATAGTCTTACAACTGAAACGAGGATTTAGGGATTGATCTGTTAGATTGCATGCTACTCTTGCCTTTTTCCTCTTACTTATGCTACTCTTGCCTTTTTCCTCTCTCTCTTTGGGTTTGCTGTTCCCTGTTCCCAGGGCAAGAAGAGAGAAGCAGTTGGTGTAGAATCAAATCCCATGTTACCCTTATTACGTATTAAGCCTTAGTTTCAGTTATTTGTCTGAATTGGTCGAAATCAGCTACATATGTGTTCCTCTGCCACATAATAGAAATGTCTTACAGTGTACAGATGCCTGTTGCCTCTTTAACGTATATTTATACAGGTGCTCACAGTTTCATCTGAAGTTCCCAAAAGAATTCAGAAGGCCTTACAGAATGCTGAAGACTCTAAGAAATCTCTCAATCAGCTTCTAGAGAAGGAAAGCCTGTTGTACGATTCAATTAATGAACACTTGATGACATCCAAGCCATGGATGGAGGATCTCGGTGTATTGATAAGTCAAATAAAAGAAGTTGAAAGGCACCTGGCTTATTTAAAATGGATTTCACAAATAGAGGAGTTAAGGTAAATAGTACCTCACAGTATGTGTTTTGGGCATGATGAAAGATTTAGAGTCTCCAAATACTTTAAATTGTTTTTATGTGTTGCATTATATCTTGTCAATTTGTTTTGATACTTTTTTTTGATAAAGCAACTATAATAATAGTAGTAGTAATAATAATAAGAATAATAGTAATTACATACAAACCTTGAAACAAGGTAGTGTACATAGAGCCCCGTCTTTAAAATTAAAGTTGCAATCCTATTGGTTACTGTGTGACGCAGAAAGGGTATATGACTGAATCAAGAGCCCTGTGTTCCCTCCCAGATAGCTGATTGGTAGACTTCTTATGTTTTTGAAAGGACTCTGTGTTGGATCAGAGGAGTTATGTGCTCTGCATTTGCATATGCTATTCCCCATCTGAAAGGATCATTGCTATGGGTCCATTGTTTTATTTAGGTGTTTTTGTGCATGTGTGTGGAATTTTTTTTAGTTTGCAAGCTTCTTTGAACAAGCTATAAATGGTTAACACAATCCAGATTTATTTGGTTTAAATAATTAAAAACTCCATATGCATTGTAAATACAGTGGTACCTCGGGTTAAGTACTTAATTCGTTCTGGAGGTGCGTTCTTAACCTGAAACTGTTCTTAACCTGAAGCACCACTTTAACTAATGGGGCCTCCTGCTGCTGCTGCGCCGCCAGAGCACGATTTCTGTTCTCATCCTGAAGCAAAGTTCTTAACCTGAAGCACTATTTCTGGGTTAGCAGAGTCTGTAACCTGAAGCGTATGTAACCCAAGGTACCACTGTATTAATTTCCTACACAACAAAGTAGGAATATGTGGAGCCTTCAGTTGGGTGGGGCAAGATAATCAAAATAGTTAATAGATGTTGTTGTGCATCTGATTTTTTGTTTATTTAAATAGCTTGCCATGTGTCTTAGGTTGAGGTTTTTAACATTTTTAGCCTGATATTCTCTTGGTGTCCTGATATGCAGAAATCAGCAGTTGAAGTTTCTTACAGCATGGAGATGAGCACTGATACTGCTAATCCCTGCAGATCCTGTTGGTGGATATTAACTTTTCTGTTCTGTTGTTTTGATGAGAGGGTTCAGACAGATTTTTATGACTTAGATTTTAAGTGCAATTTTGTAGTGGTATTTGTTCAACTCCTCTGTCTGCAAACATGTCGGTTGGCCATCTGATAAGGCGCACCAGCAACTGTAATATTAAGCACTTCATAAATAATTGTAAAATCAAGCAAGATCTTTTCACATTAGCCTGCTCACTTTTTTCTTTTCTAGCGACAACATTCAGCAATATCTCATGACTAACAATGTGCCAGAGGCTGCTACAACTCTAGCAGCCATGGCTGAAGTTGATATCAAGCTTCAAGAGTCATCTTGTTCTCATCTTCTTTCTTTTGTAAGATCTACCGTTCAATTCTGGCACAAGATCCTGAAGGATAAATTGTCAAGGTAGGAATGTGAAATAATTCTTTCAGTTTTGTTTTGCATTACTAAATCAGAGTAATTTTTATATGTTTTTCTATTGCAGTGATTTTGAGGAGACTTTAAATCATCTTCATTGGCCATTTGTTGGACCAACACAATCCCAGCCATTTGGCTTGGCTACACCGCCAGCCAACGCCCAAGAGATATACACAAACTTTGAGACACTCTTTTCTCAGCTTCTGAAACTACAAACTTCGTATCCTTGGAAAAAGCATAAAGCTGTTCCTTTCCTAGTGGGCATATGCATAAGCTCCAAAGTAGTGTAGATTAAAGGTAAAGGTAAAGGGACCCCTGACCATTAGGTCCAGTCGTGGCCGACTCTGGGGTTGCGGCACTCATCTCGCTTTATTGGCCGAGGGAGCTGGTGTACAGCTTCCGGGTCATGTGGCCAGCATGACTAAGCCGCTTCTGGCGAACCAGAGCAGCGCATTGGAACGCCGTTTACCTTCCCCCCCGGAGCGGTACCTATTTATCTACTTGCACTTTGACGTGCTTTTGAACTACTAGGTTGGCAGGAGCAGGGACCGAGCAACTGGAGCTCACCCTGTTGCGGGGATTCGAACCGCCGACCTTCTGATCAGCAAGTCCTAGGCTCTGTGGTTTAACCCACAGTGCCACCCGCTGTGGTAGATTACCTTGTGCTACATGAATTATTATGGCATGCTAATTTTGCCACTAACTGGGAAAACAGAACAAAACGGCCTGGTATGCTCTTGTGCCTTGATCTGCAGAAACCGGCAGGTGAAGATTTTCACAACATGGATATATGCATTGCCACCGCCTTGCAACTGCAGATCAAGATGCAGATGTTAAGGATGGGATCCATACCAAGTTTGGTCCCATCAGAATCAAGAGTCAAAAATTATTCATGTCTAAGTCTCAGTGTGTGACTAACTTGTTATGAATCCAACCAAATTGTCAGAAGTCAAGAATTCTGTGTTTATTTTTAAAAGAGAAGTTTGAGCAGGGTTTCATTTCTACATTGGGATTTTATTTATTACGCAGTGTACACTTTTGACCTCCCTGTAAAGCGGTTCCTGAGGGGATCCTCTAGAACTGTGTGGGATATGGGGCAGGTGAGCTGTAGCTAATACAAATCAATGCTTCTTGTCGTAGCAAAGTGACTTAATAACGCAAATGGAGTCCAGAGAGATAAGCCCTGATGACACTTTGCTAAGCAAACTGAACAAAAACGGTATAATTTGAGGAGTGAAGAGAGAGGCTTTGTCTTTCATTTTGTACCCTGTAGATAGCAGGGAGGCGTACAAACAGATCACACTACTCTGCTTGCTTATCATGATCCCACTTAGGATGTGGTCCAGAGATCTATATGCCTGTATCTGTATGAATAAGACGTTTAACCTTGACTCTTAAAAATCTCAGAGATGAACTATTAACCAAACCAAAACAGCTTCCAGAAAAATACATTCTTCCTCCATCTCCACCTATCATACTACCTATGCAGATCATGCTGGCTCCTCTTCAGAAAAGATTCAAGTATCATTTCACAGGAAACAGACAAACAAATGTGCTGAGCAAGGTAGGTTGATGGTGTTGTACAAAATCCTTGTCTTAAATGGAACCTTCTAAAAGGATATATGAAGGAAGGTGGGGGTGGAATGGGATGTGCATATGTGCCTCTCAAAATTTACTAGTCCTTCCATCCATTTTCAGCCTTCATTTAAAATACAATCTTTAGCTCTCTAGATGTTCCTGGACTCCCAATTCCCATGCGCCCCAGTCAGCATGGCTAATGGTTAGGGACGATGGGAGTTATAGTCCAACATGCAACAGGCCACAAGTTCCCCATCCCTGCTCTTGCTCCTTTAACTCCCACAGCTGCAACAGCAAAAATACGCAGACAACGTCTTATCAGTCGGAAGTAAACCTCTTCCTGCATTACATTGGGAAGATTGGCATGTGTTTCGCATTTTGTGCATCTTTTAAAATGTATGAAATGACGCCTGATTTTAGTAACAACTTTAAGTGAACTCTAGACATCTTATAAACATATTGGACTCACTTGATCTAGGTTTTTGCTGCTTTGCATTGATTTCCAATGTACTCCATTCTCCCAGTTTCCAGAAAGGTAGCTGTGTTGGTGTGTTGCAACAAAAACAACAAAGTGCCACAAGAGTTCATTGTTTATATCCCTTCTATTGGCCTGTGACTCGGGTAGTCTGTTTCCTATATCTTTTAAGGAAATTCTTGTCTGTACTGCAGCACACACCTATAGCAAGCATGTGTTCTGCTTATCAAACTCATTTTGGTTAAGCACTTCCCTTGCCAAGCACAAACCACTTAATTTCTGGGAATATAAGAAGCAGTGGCAAGGGTTGCTAGAGGGGAACTGGGCCAACAGGCTAAGGTGATGTATGATGCTATGATCGGACAAAGTAGGTTGCATCTTTGAGCTAACAACCTATACTGTGAATTCTTCTCCTTTCTCAAAAGCCTGAATGGTACCTAACCCAGGTACTCATGTGGATAGGAAATCATGCTAAGTTTCTTGAAGACAAAATCCAACCAGCGTTGGACAAGGCAGGTGTATCGGTGAATGCAAAGGTAAGCATCTCTGTATCTTGTTAACATACTGATAACCATGAAATTATACATCCATCACAGGATGGGCAGAAGATTGACTGGAAACAACTGTTATGATCACTGGCTGTTTTCCAGTTGATCAGCAAGGATTTCTGACTCCCGATCAGTGGCGTAGCGTGGGGGGTGCAGGGGGGGACCGGGCGCAACATCTGGGGTTAGGGCAAATCCATGGGTTAGGGGGCGCAAATCCACAGGTTAGGGGGTGCAAATCCACGGGTTAGGGGGCACAAATTACTTGCCTTGCCCCGGGTGCTGACAACCCACGCTACGCCACTGCTCTCGATTGATTATTGGCGGCAGCAAGAAAGTGACACGTGCAGACTACTGAAATTAAGAAAGATGGGGGGCAGGATACTCAATTTGAAAGGACTGTGAGAAAATGTTCTAGGCTCAAGATTTTTTAATTCTAAATGTGTCTCTTTTGCACATGGGCGGTGTGGGGCATTGATTAAAAAAGTAGATTCCACCAGCCTGAAGTTTAACCATTTCTGATGCAAATGCAGTTGTCATCTGAATTAATCTCTTTGTTTCTTCTTAAGCTGGAATTTTCCCGAGCTTTGGTGATGCTGATCCTTGAGAAGCTGGCTGCCGATATCCCTTGCTTGCTGTATGACGACAACCTCTTTTGTCACCTGGTGGATGAGGTACTTCTCTTTGAGAGAGAGCTGCACAGCGTTCATGGGTATCTCAACAGCTTCCCCAGCTGCACGCACATTCTATCAGAAGAAACCTGTTTTCAAAGATGGTTAACTGTGGAAAGAAAATGTAAGATACTATGGGGAGATCTGATTAAAAACCAGACCTGAAGAAACTGGGTGTTTGGGGAGGGGGGCCATTCCAAGCTCCCCTACCTTGGGGGAATAACTGTTTTAAATCTGAACAAGTCTTGGAACTAGAGTTGTGCTCTAAATGTTTGCATTTGGGATAGAATTTACGGTGCACGTAGTTTTCTGCAGAGGCCCATGATTGTAAGAAACACAGTCCGTGCTGCTGCTCCTAAAGGTGTCAGGCATTTGGTGGGGAGAGGTATATAGATCTGTCTGATAATGACCCTGATGAACAGCAGAGGATATAGCTTGTTTCCTAATCAGGAGGCCTACTTAGAATCATAGAATCATAGAGTTGGAATAGACCACAAGGGCCATCGAGTCCAACCCCCTGCCAAGCAGGAAACACCATCAGAGCACTCCTGACATATGGTTGCCAAGCCTCTGCTTAAAGACCTCCAAAGAAGGAGACTCCACCACACTCCTTGGCAGCAAATTCCACTGCCGAACAGCTCTTACTGTCAGGAAGTTCTTCCTAATGTTTAGGTGGAATCTTCTTTCTTGTAGTTTGGATCCATTGCTCCGTGTCCGCTTCTCTGGAGCAGCAGAAAACAACCTTTCTCCCTCCTCTATATGGCATCCTTTTATATATCTGAACATGGCTATCATATCATCCCTTAACCTCCTCTTCTCCAGGCTAAACATGCCCAGCTCCCTTAGCCGTTCCTCATAAGGCATCGTTTCCAGGCCTTTGACTATTTTGGTTGCCCTCCTCTGGACACGTTCCAGTTTGTCAGTGTCCTTCTTGAACTGTGGTGCCCAGAACTGGACACAGTACTCCAGGTGAGGTCTGACCAGAGCAGAATACAGTGGCACTATTGCTTCCCTTGATCTAGATGCTATACTCCTATTGATGCAGCCCAGAATTGCATTGGCTTTACTTGCTACTTGATTTACTTTACTTGATAGCCGCTAGAGGGCTATCCCAGGAATATTAGTTGTCAAACGTAGCATGGTAGAACCAGCTTTACTGGGAGAGGGTTAAGATGCCAATATCCATGAATTAAGGTTAGATTTTTAGCCATTGAGACTATTGAGGATAGGCTTCTAGGAGATGGCTGAGCTTGCCAAAGGAACATTGCTGTAACATCTGAGCTCTTCCGAGCTTTTTATCTACTGCAAAGCAAATCCCTGACAAAGAAAATAGAGGCAAGGACAGACTGTATCACCAGAGATCAGGCAGCTGGTGCATATTTGCTTTCCATGTCAGATCCATCTTCCTATTTCTGCTTGAATAGTACTCTCTTTGCTATTGTTCTTGTTCCTGTTATTCTTCAGGAGACTTTAATGTAGAGAAGAAACCACAATAGCAAAAGCAACCTGGAAAAGGATGCATTATTGCTAATTACCCCCTTATTACAGTTTATCGTAAAATTGAAGATCAGGTCAATAAGAAGTTGAGTTTGTAAAACCTATGAAATTTGAATAAACTGTAAAAATGTGGCACTAGGAAGTGTTAAGCTTTACTTTGGCCAATACTTGCATAAAGATAATACTGTTTGTCAGTTTTGTAAGGGATTTTAGCAGTTGGTATAAGAGAACTCATCTGATTCCAGGGCGTTATTGATAAACGTGTTCTCTTACTGGGTTCATATTGCCTGTTTTAGCCGTTACTAAGGTTCGTTCAGTTAACTCCTTTAGTTGAAGCAGCATCTTAACTTTGATTTGAAATTGCCGTATCTGATATGTTTTTCCCCTGTCCCAAATTTCATTTTGAAAAGGAACAATTTGTTTCCCTCTTGAAATAAAATTTGAAATAATAAGGTAACTACAGTAAGTTATTCTATTTTAACTAAGGTAACTATTTAAATATTCTTCATTGGTTTTCTGTGCCTGGCAGTTGCTCTTCAAAAGATGGACTCGATGCTTTCATCTGAAGCTGCCTGGATATCACAGTATAAAGACATTACAGATGTCGATGAAATGAAAGTCCCAGATTGTGCTGAAACTTTTATGACTCTGCTACTGGTTATCACAGGTAATTATAACATTTCTGTTATAATTCAAGAACTGTAACACAATCAACAAGGAGATCAGCATCCTATCAGTGCCTACAGATGTCATCAAATAATAACAACAATAATTTATTATTTCTACCCCACCCATCTGGCTGGGTTTCCCCAGCCACTCTGGGCGGCTTTCAACAGAATAAAACTTCAAACATTTAAAACTTCCCTAAATGGGGCTGCCTTCAGATGTCTTCTAAAAGTCAGATAGTTGTTTATTTCCTTGACATCTGATGGAAGGGCGTTCCACAAGGCAGGTGCCACAACCGAGAAGGCCCTCTGCCTGGTTCCCTGAAACTTCGCTTCTCACAGTGAGGGAACTGCCAGAAGGCCCTCGGCGCTGGACCTCAGTGTCCGGGCTGAATAATGGGGGTGGAGACGCTCCTTCAGGTATACTGGGCTGAGGCCATTTAGGGCTTTAAAGGAGTAAGAGTTGGAAATTGGAATTGCATTTGCACTGGAACAAATCAGTGTAGTTTCTGTTCATTCTTCTTTCCATCAGTGAATAATTCACAAGGTAGTTATGGCACTGTTAATACTAACAGTGTGGATATGTTGGGCAATTACTGTTGGGATAATGTACCTTTAAAAAAGAAAGACAATCTAAGAATACTCAGAAACCTAAAAGAAACCAAACATTGCTAATAATTATAGTATGGATTTTGAGTGTATGGTAAGCAGGTACCTTATGCTTTGAGTAGCATGGAGCAGCATCAGTGGAGTTAATTCAGAAGAAGTTAATTGCCCTTTCTATCATTCTCTTATGCATATCCCATTGAACTGACTCGCACTCAACTGTGTGTAGTATTTCAGGCTTAGGCCTGCTGAAATCAGTGGGGAAAAGTTAGTCATTGTTAACTTCAGGTCCATTGAAACCATGGTGGCTAACTTCCTCTCGATCCAGCCTAATGTGTTTTAGGTTGATATCCCTATTTTATTAAGTTAGTTAGCAGTCAGTGTTGAGCCACAGTGCCGTAGAACAACAGACAAATGTCATTAGGGGCATGAAATGTGGCCTTTGTGTGTCTACAGAACAAGTTCCCAGCCTGTCTTGTATCCATTAAAATGCTTTATCTGTGGGACAGCAGAGACTATGAAAAGGAGGCAAAAGTGTTAAATGTGAAGCATTGAGCACATTAATAAACAATTTTTTGTAACACCATTCCCATTCCTTAAACAGGGCCAGTTAAGTCTGTGATGAAATCTTGGGCGGTAGGTGCTTTCTAACAAAAGAGAGCCTTTAAAAATATGGAATAATTTACCAGATTCCTTGTAATGTGTTCTGCATAGATAGGTATAAACACCTTCCTGCAGCTGCTCGGAAGCTTCAGTTCCTAGAGTTGCAGAAGGAGTTGGTGGATGACTTCAGGATACGGCTCACTCAAGTTATGAAGGAAGAGACCAGAGTGCCCTTAGCCTTTCGCTACTGCGCCATCCTCAATGCTGTGAACTACATAGCAACAGTCCTGGCAGACTGGGCAGACAACGTTGTAAGTGACGATCGTTTTACATAACTACAGTTGCTCTTTGTGGATTGTCAAAACTTACTTTTAAATGCCTTTTGTTACACAACTGCTCCTATTTCTTCACAGTATAGAATTGCCTTTCACTTGCACTGATAGAATTCAGTACATTTTCAAAGTGCAGGGGATCAGATTGCGGCCATTTTAAGGTGTGGCAATTTTTGGGCGGCAGTGCATACAGCAGGGTCTTCATGTCTATCTAGTTCTTTTTGCAGCTTCAGCAGGCGGCGCTGGAAGTTTGTGCTGATAGCAACGCACTAAATAAGCTGCAGCTAGGACAACTGGCTTCCATGGAAAGCTCCGTATTTGATGACATGATCAACCTCCTGGAGCGACTAAAGCATGACATGCTGACTCGTCAGGTGGACCATGTCTTCAGAGAGGTCAAAGAGGCTGCCAGGATGTACAAAAAGGAAAGGTAATACTTTGCTGGACACATTTTAATTTGTACACAGTTTGGAAGGGAGTGAAGGGGAATTTTTAAAATGTATAGCCTGCGTTGTTCTTCCCACAATACTGTATGCCATTACCTTGTTTTATAAAACCCGATCCTGCAGAATGCATCTGGCAGGATACTGATATCTGAAAGGAATGATCTGGATGTCTATTTGCGGGAGAACAGTCATCAAGAAATTATATTCTGTGCTTGTTGTGACATTGATAAATAAATCGGCTGTTTTATCGTGCCATGAAAAACACTTTGTGTCTTCAGGATGTAGTAAGAATTTTTGCCATTTATAGAACCCAGTTTTGCCACCTGAATATTCAGGGGGAATGACCTTAGAGTAATTCTTCCAGTTCCAGAGTAGTTGTGCGGTTTGACCCAGTAGTGTTACAGCTTTGGAACACAGAATTGCTTCCAAAAACTGTCTTAATGGTCAAGATGGTTAAATAAAGCCATGCTTGTTTTTATTTTAAGAGTCCGCTATGATTCCTCTTTGTTTTATCATATATCATATCATATCACAGAGTTTGAAGGGACCCCCGATGATCATCTAGTCCAACCCGCTGCAGTGCAGGAACATGCAGCTGTCCCTCCCATTCAGGGATCAAACCTGCAACCTTGGCATTATCAGCACCTTGCTCTAACCAACTGAGCTATCCAGGATGGATACTACTCACTGTGGTTTTGGGATCTAGTAATGTGTGTATTAAAATACGTTCCTCCCCCTTGCCCCACCCTTCTGGCAAGGATGATGTTGCGTTCCCACCATCCCTGGCCCATTAGGTACCTTAACTGGGGCCAATGGGAGTTGGACTCTAGCAACATCACAGGTCACAGGTTCACCATCCCTGTGCAGGGGAGAGAGATTCCTAATGCCAGTGGCAAAATGCAAAGATGATGTCCTGGTTGTGTCTCCTAGACATTAGCAGGTGTGTTTCTGGGCTCTCTACTCCTTGAGTGCTTTGAACCAGAATGTCAGGGATGGAAGCTGGGCTCTGCCTTTGAGCTAGATGTGGTCCCCTTCCCTATCTGTCTCAATAATGGGCTTATCTGGAATCGCAAATGGAAACAGATTCTCATGAAGTGTCTTGTAAACTCCCAAGCAAACTTGGAGTTGGGTGCTGTCAGAAGCTTTCCTTTGTGGTGACGATTTTCTGTTTCTTTCAGATGGCTGTCTTTGCCTTCCCAGTCAGAACAGGCTGTGATGTCTCTGTCAGTCACTGCCTGCCCGCTGCTAATGACCTTGAGAGACCAGCTCCTACAACTAGAGCAGCAGCTTTGCTACTCGTTGTTCAAAATCTTCTGGCAAATGCTTGCAGAGAAGGTGGACTTGTTTATCTATCAGGAAGTAAGTGTCTGTCCTGGGTGACTAGGGCCATAATGACAAATCATGCCAGAAATGTTCACTATGACCTGCCTGTTCTTTGTATGCTGTGTACAGATCATTCTGGCCAATCACTTTAATGAAGGAGGAGCAGCGCAGCTGCAGTTCGACATGACCAGGAATCTTTTCCCTTTGTTCTCGCATTACTGCAAGAGGCCAGAGAATTATTTCAAACAGTAAGTAAAACATATCTCACTTTCTAGTTTATTTCAAAACTTATATATTGGGGGGGAAATAGAGAAGGAATTGCAAGGAACCTCTTCCTCCTACCCTTTTGTTATGAACACTTTTCTGAGAAAGGGTATGAGAGAGAGAAAGTAATCCCTTTTAAGAGTTTTAATAAAAATGTAGACTGGCTAGAGCCAGTGTGATGTAGTGGTTAAGAGCAATAGACTCGTAATCTGGTGAATCGGGTTCGCCTCCCCGCTCCTCCACATGCAGCTGCTGGGTGACCTTGGGCCAGTCACACTTCTCTGAAGTCTCTCAGCCCCACTCACCTCACAGAGTGTTTGTTGTGGGGGAGGAAGGGAAAGGAGAATGTTAGCCGCTTTGAGACTCCTTTGGGTAGTAATAAAGCGGGATATCAAATCCAAACTCTACTTCTTCTTCTTCTAGCATTTACAGTAGGGTTGGTTATATTGCAATTGTTGTGAACCGCCATGAGATCTACAGGTATATGGCAATTAGTTAGTTAGTTAGTTAAATAAGCAAGTAATCATATAAAGAGCACTGCTTAATACTTTTACATCACTGTTGGGGAATAATTATGGGACAAGATTAAGGTGTAAAAGCGTAAGATTGTTGTCATTGCCAAATTAACTGGAAGACAGTAGTTAAATAACATAACATAGCATGGGTTCCCTCCTCCGTTTTGTACAAAAAAGTGAACTTATTACAGGCTGAGGTATTTAGTGAGATATTTGTCACTTAAAGAAGAAAAAAAAGTTGATATAGCATGAAGATCTGTTGTTCCGATTTCTGTTTTAAATGTGGTTTGTCATATGGCAGGATGGGCTGCTATATAAGCAACAAGCTTAAAGTTCCCCTCCAAGCGTTTACATAGCTCTCTAGGTTTTCCCCTGTTCTGAAATGAGGACTTTCTCATTTTCTTTTGCAGCATAAAGGAGGCCTGTATTGTGCTGAATTTAAATGTTGGCTCAGCCCTACTTTTAAAGGATGTTCTTCACTCAGCCACTGAAAACAGAACTGAAACCACCCTGAATTCAAGTCAGCCCACAGCAATGGCAGCATTAAATGAACTTGGAATTTACAAGTTAGCGCAGCAAGATGTCGAGATTCTTCTTAATTTGAGAACAAACTGGCCTAACACTGGGAAATGAGCAAATAGAGAGATTAATCACTGTTGAATTCTATGAGAAACAAAGCCTACTTTTCTCTGTGCTAAACTAAGTTTTTTAGTGAAGATGAAAGAGCTGTATACATGTCACAGTTTCAAAGATACAATTTCGTGTTGGGTACAGTTCAGCAAGTATTATAATACTATAATTGAACAATATGTTCAGCTGGAATATATTATTGTCCAACACCAGTGTGACAAATACAGTTTTCTCAGCTGACTTTCTGTGGTAATCAAGTAAAGTTATTGTCATTACAGGGCATATTCTAATACATCTAATACATTGTGTACATAGATGTACACAAGCAACAAGCCCCTTACAGGAACAGATTAAGAGTCTGTGTCTCTTAATCTCAAGGTCGTGGATTGGAGCCCCACACAGGGCAAAAGATTAATGCACTGCAGAGGGTTGGACTAGATGATCCTTGTCCTCCCTTTGAACTCTACAATTCTATGATTCTATTCTAGGATCCTTCTAGGAGTTTGTGGGAACTGCATTTCATGAGCTAACCTGAGTTGCTTCCCCTTGTTGGCTGTTCAGTCACACAGAATCCTGTTAAGTCTGGCTGGATTGTTGCTAGGGTTTTCCAACACCTCTTTGCAAGGGCTCTGAGCTGTTAACACCAGACATATTGCAGTGGTCCGCTATCAACACTAGGGGCTTACAGTGGTTTGCAGCATTTTCTGTGGTTTCTATGCCTTCGTCTGGAAGTCTAGAGCACTCTGAAACAGCTGCAGCCCTAATCAAACTGAAGACCAGCCAGAGAGAACTTGAGAACTGGTTTGTCTTTTTGCCTTCCTGGTCTGTTGTTCCTGTCGACATCCCCTGTTGCTGAGGACTGAGATTTTGCATTTTCCCTGATGAAGAGCAAGTAGACAACTGTTTAATTATTTGTTTGTTGAAAAATTGGGCTGGGGGGTTGCTACAGGCCTGGGTAGAAAGAGGGGAAAGCAAAAGCAGGAGAAATAAAAAGGATTGGTGTCTAGATATAGGTGGCCCAGCTAAAGACCGTGGCAGCTCATGAATAGTGCAGTATTTATAATTATCTGGTGAAGACTGGGAGCCAGTGGCCAAGTTGGTCTGAGAGGTTGCCTTGTGTAAAAGGTTGCACAGGAAAGTTTTTAAAGGTGGCCAAACTGTGCAGTCAGAAGTACAGGCATAGGAGCTTTGGGGTGAAGAAAGAGTTTAGTTTGTTTCATTTCATAAAATTAATACACTGGTTTATAAAACAAGGCTCCCCCAAACCTCAAAGCGATTTACAAGAGAGGATTTGCCACAATAGCTGAACTGGGTTGTGAGAATAATTGGCTGGCATGGAAATGGGGGGGGGGGGGAGAGAGAGAGAATTTGGCCTGCAGTAAAAGTCTCTTAGAGGCTGGCTCTTGAGTCTTTGGGAAGACTGCAGGATGTAAATATCAGTATTTCCTTGGGTACAAAGGTTGTCTTTAATAAAGCAATGATCTTAGTTTAAAACAGGCAAGTCCAAAGTCTGTTTCGGGGGCATGACCCGGCCCCTGTGGCAGTTTATTTCCTGGGGTAAAATCCTAAAAAAACCCTCAACAAGGGGTGGGGTTAAAAGAAAGCTCAATAACTTCAATCCTAAAAAAAAAGGTCTTTTGGTTGGTCTTTTGGTCGGCCCTCACGGCCCTTCACTTCATCAAATCTGGCCCTCTTTGAAAAAAGTTTGGACACCACTGGTTTAAATTATAGCACTCCTCTCCAGCCAAGTGTCTCTAAAGATGGTTGGCTAAGAACAAGGTATGTATATGTTTTGCTTCCTTGGGGTTACTGTTTTCTTGAGTCTGTGCGATGGCAGGAGGAACATTGTGTGTCTTCCCTTCTTCAAAATGGATCAGGTCCTAATATTAAGGATGTAGACTAGAGCACCACTCTTGACTAAGGTGTCTCTGAGTCTACCACGAAGAGACCAAAACACTTGACCTGTGAATGTACTATCTGCTCCTGAGCTTGAAATTCTCCATCTTGGGGCCAGAACCATCTGAACAAGCTATGAATTGTGGACTCCCCATACCCCAACCTGCCTATCCCAGCAGCCCCAACACCTCTTAAGTAGAAAGGAGTGGGACTTCTTCATGTTTGCTGGAATGGGACATTTTAGAGTGAACCGCAATCCTAAGTGATTGCCTTGTATTTACAACAGTGACAAAATGAGGTAACAGAAGCATTGGTTGATGCTGCATGAAACAGAAAAAAGTTCCCCAAAGGTAACTTTCCTTCAAAAGCTAATAAAAACGCTTCACCTATTTCTTACAAACATATAAATTATTTTATTTACAAAGCCATGTTACAAAAAATAATAACAATAATAATAATAATAAAGCAAAAACAAAATGTAACCCCAAAACAAAAGAAAATACAATCGCTCACTAGCTAGAGAATATCTCCAGGCCTGGTGTTGAACTGTGGCAGTATCAGTCAGATACATGTTTGTTCTTTTTTCAAAACTGTAAGCCATAAAGTTTTATTATTTACACCTTACTTCCGACACAATTTTCACAAGCATGGAATGGGCTCTTTCTGATACTGCTAATACATAAAAGGTGCAGAACAAAGAATGAAAATACTTAGTGTTACAAAATATGGGTTTGTAGAAAAGAAACTGACTGTACACATATGGCATTTTCTTTTAGAATGATTGGACATGCTTTCTTCAAAAGTCTTCTGGAAAAAGATTCTAAAACCTGTAGTAGGAAAGCACAATACAGGAGGTGCAAAGTCATTTCTGTGCAACAGTTAATATTCCCCATGACTGACCAGCTATGCAAAACCCACAGAGTTTTGTTAAAGTGCCATGGGCCAACAGCATAACAAAATATAAGGTGTAAATAGAAAATTTTCTTTTTTCCAAACAATAGTTCACTGAGAATCAGCAGTAATAGAATATGCTGTATAAACTATTCTCTACAAAGGTTGATCAGCACTATGTACAATTGTTAACATTGATACAAAAGAAGGCATACAAGTTATCCAAGTCGCTTTTGTTTTTTTTAATATGGCTGAAGGGCCTATGCATTGCGTATGTGTAACAACCAAAGCTGAGCCTCTATTGCTGGAAACGAATCACAAAGTCTTCAGGCAAAGGTGGGAGGAAGAAGGAGGAAAAGCAACTGTTGAATGAATGCTACACTAATAATACATTATAGGCTGGTCCAGTTCAAATCCATTTTTTTTTTTAAAAAAAACTGCATTTCACTTTTCAGGCTGGAAATTTTAGCACGTATAAAATCAATTGGTGATTTTTTTAAAAAATGCAGGGGATAAAAAAAGTATGAGGTTTTTACTTGGTTTCCAAAATGCTTTCAGACCGATGCCACTGAAAATAAAAGGATACATACATAAGCAGCAAAGAACACTCCCCAGTCCAGCTTCTTACATAACAGATGCATGTTAAGAGCTAAGGAATTCTTAACACGACTGAATTGTTCCTTCGGTCACTGAGTGACATTAATTCTCAGAAGCAGCCACTGAATCTCACCACCCCTGTTTCCCCTCTAGAAGTAGAAAACAGCAGTTCACTTATCAGATGGTGTTTTCTTACTGAGATTTTAAAACTCCTGCAGTTATACAACACAAAATAAATTAGTTTTTTTTATATATATAAAAAAGTCAACAAGGCTCTGTTCCTACAACTGAAGACAAAAATTGTGCAAAAATAACAAAGATATGTACACTTTTTTTCAGTCTGAAGAAATGTACAATAAAACCATAACTCAAAAGTACATGAAAAATATAAGCATTGCTTAAAACTTTCCTAAGTTTCATATTGTTCATGAAACTATTCCTGTCACTTCCCAAATATAGCAAAACATAAATTACAAAATTAACACTATAAAATTTTACTTTAAGAATATCTTCTAATTCCCCCCCCAAAGGGCCTAGCCATGTTTACAATTGTTAAACATTGTATAAGCTTTAAAAATTTCCTTAAGCCTTCCACCCCCCAAAAGTAAATGGCTTCCTACCCCCTTGAGATGTAAATAAACCAGCATTTAAGTGCACTTTTAACACTGTAGAAATAAAAATTAACTGCTCTGTAGTAATTTTGCAGTACCCTAGTATTATTAAGTTCCTGATTTCAAAATCTACCTTAATTTTTTTTTAAAAGCAGTAATTCCTGTAAAACATTGTCAGTGCAATTCTAACTGATACAAATTCAGTATGCTCAGCTCCTGTCTTTTCAAAGAACAAATTGTTTCATTAAGGAAAACAGTAGTATAGATTCTTTGTGGCTCTGCCATCTACAGGAAATTTTCACATGGCGCTCCTATGAATCTCACTGGGAACAAATTGAATAAACCCTTCAGTACATTGAGCAGATTAGGAATACCATAATCAACAAGAGGTGCTGCACACTGAAACCACTGAACAACGTCAGTGAAACTTCTGGCCACATAGTTGTTAGATACTGCTGAGAAATGCACTAGGACAATAATAAATAATAAATACAGAAGTTACTGTAGATTTTTAACAATGAAGGGGTGTTTAAAATATAACCACACATTGCATTATTTCGGAATGTTCACTGCTGTCATTTGTTGCAAGAAACGAAAAAGGGGGAAATGCAACAATTTGCTTTTAAAAGCTTGAATCCGAATCAAACCAGATTGCACAGATCAGAGGCCGATGTGTATTGAAGATCTGAAATATGCCACAGTTTTATGTAGATTTAAAAACATTTGTGTTTTTTTTAAAAAACCCACCAAAAATATTAAGTAAATTTTATCTGCAAGAGACAGAAAATAAAATAAGAAACCAGAGTAGGGCTGCTAAAACGAGAGAGAATATAGGCTGGTTGCTTTTCCTTGTTATGGAAGAGTCCTTATCCTACCAGTCCGGTTTAACGTCTTCTGGAAGAAAGATAAGAGTTGATTGTAAAACAATGCAACATTTTGCTCCACTACATGAACCTAATTAACTACAAACCCCCAAATTTGGGATACCCTCCAAAGTGGTGCCAAAGCTTTGCAGTCCTTTTGCAGTCGGAACCCCACATTTTGCAGCAACCCACTAAACTGAGTAATTCATGCTCAAACCAGAGGTCCTAGGTATCACCCCAAACCCCAACATACTTCCAGTTTACAGAACCTTCCCGACAGTTGGCTAGGCAGAATTCTGACTTGCCAGACAGAGATGAGTGGCTTTTTAGAAGCCTGCATTAAATCATTACAGTACTTATTATAATGCAATAAACGTGCGCAGCTTCGATAGTTTATATTAAAATGACTGGTCAACAAACTGGTTATATAACCACTTCAGGAAAATTTGTAAACTGCAACTCACTTGTTTGTTGTGCACTGGGTTCTGTGTACTTGAAGGACTGGACTGAGACAAAGCTACACTGCTATTTTTTCCAATCTGTAAGGTACAAACAGTATTCAGAAGGCAAGATGCAGAAACCATATAGAACTGCCATAAAAGCAAGCGTACTCTCAAAATCTTTTGCTTCACTTAATCAAGGGTCAGCAAACTTTTTCAGGAGCGGGCCAGTCCACTGTCCCTCAGACCTTGTGGGGGGCCGGACTATACTGGGGAGGGGGGAAATGAACAAATTCCTATGCTCCACAAATAACATTAAATAAAAGCACACATTCTACTCACGTAAAAACACCAGGCAGACCCCACAAATAACCCAGAGATGTATTTTAAATAAAAGGACACATTCTACTCATGTAAAAACATGCTGATTCCCAGACCGCTTGCAGACCGGATTTAGAAGGCGGTTGGGCCGGATCCGGCCCCCGGCCTTAGTTTGCCTACCCATGATTTAACTCCCTATTAACATACTCTCATTTAAAAGCAATATGGAACATGTGGCTCTCATTTTCAGTAATGTATCATGCAGATGTCAGGCTATCCTGGGAAATGTTTGGGGCTGACCGCTGAGTAACTGTGGTACAGTGGTGCCTCGCAAGACGAAATTAATTCATTCCACGAGTTTTGTTGTCTTGCGATTTTTTTTTGTCTTGTGAAGCACGGTGTCGGGAAAGTTTTGGAAAAGCTTCAAAAATCGCCAAAGTCTTTAAAAACCTCAAAAAAGGCTACCACACCGCGTTCTATGAGTTGCTCCTCGAAGTCAAGTCGCAACTGTATTAACGGTGTTAAGAAAAAGGAAACAAACTTGCAAGACGTTTCCGTCTTGCGAAGCAAGCCCATAGGGAAAATCGTCTTGCGAAGCAGCTCAAAAAACAAAAAACGGGTTTTCCGTCTTGCGAGGCATTCGTCTTGCGAGGTACCACTGTATAAGAAACCAGGAAGTTGCCTCTGCAGCCAGGAGCGGAACGGGAGATGCAATCTTTCTTCAACCTCATTGCTCCCTCACAGGCCAACGGAGGCTGGCTGGCCTTGTGCATTACATTTGGACAGGAGGCTGACTGGGTGCTCCCTCAGCGGTTCACCACTGTGGGCATCCCAATACATCCGCCAGGCTGCTTTGCCCCTGCCAAGTCAGGGAAACAAGACCCGACAGACCCGTGAAACCCTTACCTGCCGAGAGATGGAGCTGTTTGGAGTATCTGGCACCGTAGGAATAAGATTGGCAGTGCTCTTTTTGTGAACGCTATTCATACCAGGCATTTTAGTGATTTTACAGGCTTTGCTACTAGAATTAGAGTTTTTGCGTTTCTTCCCTTCCGATTTATCAAAACAAAGGGGGAGAGAGGACACGGCGTTGTGTGCTGTTAGGGAGTGGTCCCCTGAATGGTGGAGGAGGGAGGGCACAGACAAACCGGAAGAGTCAATACTGTTTACTACGATGCTCATGTGTTTGACCGAGTCTGCTGAGCTACTTGATAACGAAGTCCGTCCTCCCGAGGGCTCCGATTTGGCACTGAGTGGGGTTGTTCCATTGTTTGCATTGTGCACAGACAGACTGTTATAGGAAGATGTGGCCTGATAAGAGTTCAAGCTCGAGCTGGGGTTCAAGACGCAGTTCTTTTTGTGAGACCCTGAAAAGGAAGAGGAGGGGGACGAGGAAGTCTGCAAAGACAGCGAGGAAGAAGAAGAGGGCGGCCTTTTCTTTTTGTTGCTAGAAGACTCATCACCGCGGCACGAGAGATCTCTGACTTTTGAGGATTTGCTGGTTTTCGTTTTGGATGGCTTGTGGGATGGGGGAGGGATAACCGCTGGCACAGGTGACATGGCCGACGGGGTCTTAAATGTCGAGTCTATAATACTCAGGCTGGCAGCCACGTGAGGGAATGCCGTAGTGTGCGACATAATGGAATTCGTATCCGATGCAGTCACAAAAGCCGCGTTGGACAACATGGCAGAAGTCATCAAGTAGGAAGAAGGTATTCTTGAACTGACGGGCGCCGAAGGAATATACACTGCACTAGGGTTGCTGAAAGGTTGCAAAACCGATGCTGGAAAAGGGGTGGAGATATGTGCTGCTGGAGAGGGCATCGGACTATCCACCGCAGGAGGGATTTTCCTGTAACAGGAAAGAAAAAGAAATACTTTGAGGTTCGGGCACCTCCTAACTCAGCTCGCTGCAAGGACTGAGCAATAAACACACACACACACAAATAATAATTATTGGATAGTTTTAATTTACCAGTTCCAATTCATTACATTTTGGGATTTATTTCCAGATTCTTGCAACTGGGCCTCCTCTTTCTTCACACTGGACTGAGGGTATATGCCACTCAATCACGTATGCTCTCCCACCTTCCCCGCCCAGCCGTCTTATGTGAAATTTCCTTCCATTCTTTTCTACTTACCAGTTAATCAGGAACGCTCCTAAACTTACTTTGATCAATTGAGTTTAATCTGGGTTCTCAAAAAGAAGTAACACCATAGTTGTGTTGTTAGTACTCAAATCATACACAGAACTGGGCCTGATCCACTCAAGTGTCAGAGTAGGTTTCCTAAGCGGTTAAGTCCTATTTTCCCCATTCTCCTGCCATCACCAGGAGACACTGCAGGGGATGGGAGATTTGTTCACGCCTCCCCCAGCCCTCCCTCCCTCTACCAGGCAAGTTCCTTGAATTCACCAGACAATCTACTGCAATCCAAATAACTTCAAATATAGAAGGACTATCATAAACATTAACAACCAATTAGTATTGGGATGTGCAATGTTAACAGAAGACTATGCACCAAGTCTGACCCCCAAAGTTCCAACTCTTGTACCTTATTATTATTATTATTAATTGAATTTATATTCCGCCCTATACCTGGAGGTCTCAGGGCGGTCATCAATAAATTACCACTAAAGAACAAAACAAAAAAATTCCTTCCAGTAGCACCTTAAAGACCAACTAAGTTAGTTCTTGGTATGAGCTTTCGTGTGCATGCACACTTCTTCAGATACACAGTATGCATGCACACGAAAGCTCATACCAAGAACTAACTTAGTTGGTCTTTAAGGTGCTACTGGAAGGAATTTTTTTGTTTTGACTATGGCAGACCAACACGGCTACTTATCTGTAACTGGCACTAAAGAACAAGTGAGCCATGTTCCTTCAGGCAAATGTTACAACATCCAAGTTCAAGACATTGCAAATGGCAATCACAACCCCAATCTTCAGAAGTTTGCAGAGTTTGCTTTTAACGGCCCGGGCCCTGTGGGGGTCACACAGCAAACCAGGAAGAGGCACAAGATCTTCTGGCAATTTTCTATCCTATGGTCACAGTGGAGGCTTCATTTAACCATCAAGACAAATAGCCTCTGAGAGCCCTTGTTAATTGGTATAAATCCCTTTAAAGCCATCTCTGCCAGTGGATATCACCACAGATTGTGGCAATGACACTGAATACATTGTGCAGAATACTTCTCTTTTTTTGGGGGGGGGGGGGCGGCGCTGCCCTGAATCTGTCAGGCCAATCAAGCTGGTTGAGTTGAGTATAGAACTTCTCTTGATCCACTTCTGAATACTATCCATAATGGTATAAACCATTAGTGAGAGCTGGACCATAAAGAAGGCTGATCGCCGAAGAATTGATACTTTTGAATTATGGTGCTGGAGGAGACTCTGGAGAGTCCCATGGACTGCAAGAAGATCAAACCGATCCATTCTGAAGGAAATTAGCCCTGAGTGCTCACTGGAAGGACAGATCGTGAAGCTGAGGCTCCAATACTTTGGCCACCTCATGAGAAGAGAAGACTCCCTGGAAAAGACCCTGATGTTGGGAAAGATTGAGAGCACAAGGAGAAGGGGACGACAGAGGACGAGATGGTTGGACAGTGTTCTCGAAGCTACCAGCATGAGTTTGACCAAACTGCGGGAGGCAGTGGAAGACAGGAGTGCCTGGCATGCTCTGGTCCATGGGGTCACGAAGAGTCGGACACCACTAAACGACTAAACAACAACAACATCCATGTACTATCTGAAACCAAAGGGGCCATAGGAGCCAACATCTAGGGACCAAGGTCCCTTCAGCCCCTCCCCCAAAATAATGTATTTGAGGGGGCTGGCCCCCCAAAGTTGATGGGCATTGCCATTCAAAATAGGCGCATGCACTGTGTGTTGTGATCAATTATATGCAGCATGGGGCTTACCCGCTTCCCCCCCCAAAAAAACTCCTTTGAGGTGACAGATGTGAAATACTTTGGCATTATTTTCTGCTCTCATACCCCACTCTTAGACCTGTAGGATAACATGAAAGCAGAAGCTGCTTACTTACCTCCACATCTGTGAGTTTAAGTGTCTTTCTACCATGGAATTCAGTGCTAGTCGAAAACGATCCCATCTTCTGTCAAACACGTAGTAACCTCTTCCCATCAAATGACTTCCAAATGAACAAAACTGGAAAGGATAAAGGGGAAAAGATATAGGGATCTTGCAAAAATCAAAGGATGCTGCTGATCAATACATTGACTACAGAAGTTTAAAAATGCTATCTGTTTGAGTCTAGTGAAAATAATTGCATTAGTAAATACCTATGGCTTTCTCCCTTTAACCCAAAACTTGATTTTATTTTCAGGTGATTTGGATGTATATCACTTTTGGTATCTGTAACTCACATCCCTCAATTTATGCTGCCGTAAAAAAATAATAATATTGCGGTCTCTGGCTTGCTGTGCATGCATCCTCTAGTAAGATGCAAGTCATCACAAAACACAGCAGGGGAGAAGCCACAAATTACATTAACATTTGCATTTGCAAAAGCTACAGCCTTAAATACTACAATTTTAGAGGCTGTTATTAGCTTTATAATAGCCATTATCTTACTTTTGCTCCTAGGTCATCTACTGGTAAAAAAGTATAATCTACTATTAGATTAAATGAGACAAGGAATTTCACACAAATACGCTAAAACAAAAGATATTCATGAAATCAGAAGAGCTTCAGGGTATACTATAGGGAGCCAAGATTGCAAATTAGTTAAGGATCTTTGGACTTAACTGTGAAATCATTCTTCTAAATCAGGCATAGGCAAACACGGCCCTCCAGGTGTTTTGGGACTACAACTCCCATCATCCCTAGCTAACAGGACCAGTGGTCAGGGATGATGGGTGCTGTAGTCCCAAAACATCTGGAGGGCCGAGTTTGCCTATGCCTGATCTAAATACATCTAGAGATGACCTCAGGTGGGACTTGAGTTCCACCTACTGGTTGAAGTCAGGAAGTGGTTTCATTTGTGGAAGCTTCTGGGTATCAATTGAACCATATGGCTGGTTCTTTTATGACAAGCCATACAGAGAACAGAACACAAGACCAGTGGCAATAAGACAAAAGACATGGCTCCTCTTTCCTCCAACCCAGTGGGAGAGATGGGCATCAGATGGGGCCGCTGAAATCTCCTGAGGCACATTCATGATCCCAAAGGTGATGCTTCACCAAACCATCCTCAAGCTGGGAGGGGCAGGGGTCACTTGCATCTACATTAACCACAGAGGCCAAAACACAGGCTTCTGGTTTGGCAAGAGAGCTGTGTGCATCATTTAAGGAAGCACAGGTAATTTTTCTTCTGCTTTTTCCTAATTGCTGCAAAACACTTTGCTTGGAGCTAAACAAGAGAAGACTCCCTGGAGAAGACCCTGATGTTGGGAAAGATGGAGGGCACAAGGAGAAGGGGACGACAGAGGATGAGATGGTTGGACAGTGTTCTCAAAGCTACCAGCATGAGTTTGACCAAACTGCGGGAAGCAGTGGAAGACAGGGGTGCCTGGCCTGCTCTGGTCCAGGGGGGTCACGAAAAGTCGGACACGACTAAACGACTAAACAACAACAAAACAAGAAGTCTGGGGCACGACAGGTCTGCTGGAGACAGAGAAGGAAGAACGACTGGGGGCACAATCTTCACAAAGGGAAGGGCTTCTGTGGAGCAGGAAAAAGATGAAAATGGACACAGGTGACAAAGGGCTCTTTTATTATTACTACTTAAAGGCAAAAGGTAGGAATGGGAAAGCGGGGAAACCTCAGGAACTAGCCTAGGGAATGGACAGACAAACTGATATGACAGAGAAAGAGAGAGAGAGTTTAATGGAAAATAGGCATCTAGATGGGCTCCATGGAAAACATATACACAAACCAAGAAGGGAACAAATGAGTAAAAATACACCTAAATTGAAGGAAGGAGGTAAAGTGCATGCTCAACAACCACTCAAGGTGAAGCCAGAAACAGAACTGGTCACAGAGCGAATTGTGGTCCAGGAGCGTCTGCAAATGAACAGCAATTTCTGCCTTCAATCACTAGGTGGAATTTCAAGTCTCACCTGAGGCCATCTTACATTCAGTTGTTTTTCAGTATTATTGGGCTGCCTTATACCTAAAACACAAATCTATGTCCCTACTTTAACATCACTAAGGATAGAAGCAATTATATCTAAGGAGAGCCTCAAGGTCTATAAACAGCAACACCCTAGTGGTCCCAAGCCCTAAGGAAGTTAGATTAGCCTCAACCAGAGCCAGGGCCTTTTCAACACTGGCTCCGGCCTGGTGGAATGCTCTGCCTCATGAGACCAGGGCCCTGCAGGATCTGATTTCTGCACGTTCACAGCTTGTGGTCTGTATCATTCAACATGACTGACTGCTCTGCAGCAATGCAACGGTACAGTTGTGTAGACTGACATTGGCATACAAAGTCTGAGCAGCATTGGGCAGGGCAGCTCACCAACTTGGGAGACCTCAGATCAGGGATGGAGAACCTGAGAACCTCCAACATTGTTGAATTCCAGCTCCCATCTGCCCAGACAACATGGTCAGCTGTGAGGGGTGGTGGAACACCAGCACCATCTGGAGGTTCCCAGGTTCCTCACTCACCCTTGCCTTCGATTATGAATTACAAAGTAAATGAGGACATGCCATGGAAGAGTTGGGTGGAGAAAGTCAGTATGAAGAGAGAGGGCTACTTCTGGAAAAGAACCCAGCACAGGTCATTTAGCCTGGGGAGTAGGTTCACTTTCCGACAGCCTTGCCTCTGTACTTTGGTGAATGGCTGGTGCTCAAACAAACCAAGGTTACTCCAGGATCTTAGGTTTGGGTGTAATGACAAACCATGGTAAGGTAAAGGTAAAGGTACCCCTGCCCGTATGGGCCAGTCGTGTCCGACTCTAGGGTTGTGTGCCCATCTCACTTAAGAGGCCGGGGGCCAGCGCTGTCCGGAGACACTTCCGGGTCACGTGGCCAGCGTGACAAGCTGCATCTGGCGAGCCAGCGCAGCACACGGAACGCCGTTTACCTTCCCGCTATAAAGCGGTACCTATTTATCTACTTGCACCCGGGGGTGCTTTCGAACTGCTAGATGGGCAGGAGCTGGGACCGAAAGACGGGAGCTCACCCCGCCGCGAGGATTCGAACCGCCGACCATGCGATCGGCAAGCCCTAGGCACTGAGGTTTTACCCACAGTGCCACCTGCATCCCGACAAACCATGGTACCAAGCCACAATTCATAAGCCAAACAATCATGGTGGCTTGTTAAAATGTAAACCATGGTTACTTGCTCAGAGCAGGTTCAAATGTTTAGACAAATCATACTTAGGTTAAGCAAACCATGGTTTAGCATTACATGCAAACACAGCCAGTTTGTCAATAAGATGTGTTTTTTTTATAACGCACATGCTTTCAGCAATGAGATACTTCTTTCGTAAGTGTATACAGCCAGTCATAAATGTCAGCAACGAACAGGGTTACTGGAGATAAAAAGACATACCCCAAGAGGTCGAGGATGGTGTCCGGAATAGTGACAGTCTAACTTCTCAGAGTCTTCGGATCCCTCCACTTCGCCCTCGTCACTAGATAATCTGCTAGGCAGATCTCCTCCCATAGAAGGCAGAGGCAGTTCTGGAGCATAACCACCATGGTTTGAAGAACTAGTGCTATTTATGCTGTTTGCAGAGGAAGGCCTAAGAGGGTAAAATGACCAACACAAGGTTCACAACTCCACAACTACCTTCCTAGCTAAAAGGAAACTTACAGTAGGATACTGCAACACATGCTTACTCCAGAGTACATGTCACCATGCTCAATAAAACTTATTACATCCTAAGTATGTTTATGACAGAAGCCTTATACAACTAACTCACAACTTACACACATTTGTCTTGTGTGCATTCAGCTTTAGACACTTTGTAAAATAAAAAAATAAAAGGGGGCTGGGCTTACAGGAAAAAAGACGTTGGCAATCACACCCACCATTGAACCCAATGTGTTTTGACTATACACAATTTGGCTTTCCGCGCTATCTCCTGAACGTAACCCCCACAAAGTTGAGAGTCACCTGTACTACAAATACATTAAGTAAGCAGTTAAATTCCTCTGAATTCTTTGTTACTGACTTCTGAATAAATGTGCATAGGATTGAGGTGTGTGCATTTCAATAAACTATGCGCCTTTTACAAAAATCCATCTTTATATGGTTCAAAATGCCATTAGTACTGAAACATTAAATGCATTACTGCTAGACAGAAAGTCTGGATCGGAAAATAGACATTTCCTACCGAAAAGGAGAAGGAGAAATGCTACAACGTTCAATCCCCCCGCTACACAGAAAGCACAGAAGCTTTTGAAGTCTAGTAGATTTACTATGACATTTATATCAGAAATGTAGAAGGGCTTGAAGTCTGCAGGGGCTTTTATCAGGAACTGAATTGCAGAATTCTGAATGAAATTCACAGTGAAACATGCTCATTTCCTACTTCATTAAAAAGGTGCAACTTTCGAGCCCTGATTGTGGAAAGCAGTTGGAAAACAAGTTCCTGGTTTTTGCTAGAATCTGAATAGAGACTATCCCTCAGTCTCTAAATTTTGCACTGCACACGAGGGATATATATACAGTGGTGCCTCGCAAGACGAAAAACCCGCTAGACGAAAGGGTTTTCCGTTTTTCGATGCGCTTCGCAAGACGAATTTCCCTATGGGCTTGCTTCGCAAGACGAAAACGTCTTGCGAGTCTTGCGATTTTTTTTCGCTCCCCCCCCTTTTCTAAGCCGCTAAGCCTTTAATAGCCGCTAAACCGCTAATAGCGCTAATCCGCTAATAGGGTTGCTTCGCAAGACGAAAAAACCGCTAGACGAAGAGACTCACGGAACAGATTATTTTCATCTTGCGAGGCACCACTGTATATACTCTCTCTCTCTCTCTCTCTCTCTCTCTCTCTCTCTCTCACACACACACACACACACACACAAATATGATTTCCATAATTTATCCACTCCACTGAATTTGAGCTTGCTCGTATCATAATTTGGCATTTCCCTGGGCCCACTGCTCACTAAATGCCAGAATCCTGCGCCCATTTCCACTTACCTAGGAAATGCTGAATTGGGCAGTCTTGATTTTGCAGGCGACGTTCCTTTGGGCTCTTGCCCAGAGTTCACTGATGTTCCCGACAGAGTGTCTTGGACTAGCACAGGCTGGGGCTGATGAGTTTCCCTTATACATTGCGGATGCTCCTTGTCTTTTGCTACTTCTTTTTCCCGTGATCGAGCTTTGTGTTCAGCTAAAAGAATGTCAAACTGTTTTTTACGGCCTGGAACTGCTCGCCGGTGATTAAGTGAATGAGTCTAAAAATAGGATAGTTGAAAAGTTGGGGGGGGTGAAAATATAAAAATCAATTAAAATATTAATCTGGGAGATAGCTAGAAATATTTGACTGATCATTGATTTTATGACAACACGAAACAGTTCTTCTATACAGGTTAGTTCACCTGTCCTAGGAGGCACATACAGTTTAATGAAACATTATTTTGGTGATAAGAAAACTTTCCATGAAAACACTCTACACATTAGTAGCATAACCAGAGCGTTGTGGTTTTAAAAAACGGGGGTGTGAATATAAAAACAGTTAGAATATATTAATCCAGGAAATAGCATAAGTTCCATGATGTTATTGTGTAAATTAATTGCAAACCAGACCTGGAAATAGCATTCTCTGTACCTTCAACATAAATGTTCAATAGCTTTTCATCTACAAGTTTATTGATGATTTATGTCATAAAATTTATACGCCAGTTTTAAAAAGTCCTCAAAGCAGTTTAAAAAGAGAATAAAACCAAACCAAAAAAACCAAAAAAAACCTCTTTAATTCGTTCAAAACAAAGTTGAAGGAATATTTTCCTTTTGTTTTTAAATTAATGGGTCGAAAGCAGGTGTTCTTGTCTTTACAAAAAGCAATATTTCCTAAAGACAAGGGTGCTCAGTTTGGGTGGAAAGGGTCAATCAGTCAAAAATAATATTTTCTTTACTCTGAAAAGGGAGCTGCAATGCTGAAGTCACTCAGCTGCACCCTGACTTTCCACATTTCTTAAAAGGGAAGGCAAATATTACTATTCTCTCCTACACCTTTGTAATCTGTTAAATTATGGCCTTTTCTTTAGCTAAGGGAGTAAGTTGTCATATATGACAAACAGCTCAGGTATGTCTTGTGTGCTTCAACCCTTTAATTGGAAACCACCACATTGGATATTCCTGGTCAGATAAGGTTGGTCTGGGCTTTGGAGGCCGGAGTTTGGGAGCTCCTGCGATGAGACAAGCTCCTTTCTGCCCTCCCCAGGACTGAGAAGAGACAGGGAAATGCTTACTCCACTTAAAGGGATTTTTGTTTGGTTCCTCTTGCTGTCCCTCCTTGCACTCCAGTGCCTGAAACCTGCCATTAAATGCTTTGTCAGCCTCCCTTACTCCTCCAGCCATCAACACTTCATCCAGCATCTAGTGCTTAACCCCTATGCATTAGCTACGAAAAGAAAAAAAGATAAAGCCTATCCATAAATGAGGACTGCACTACTGCAGAACTATTGTTTTCATTCATTCATTCATTCATTCATTCATTCATTCATTCATTCATTTTGGCAACGAATAACCACGGTGCTCAAATCACCCTTTTGATTTAATATGGGGTTGCTCTTGGCTATTTAAAAATACACGACGTATTAGAATGACCTTTATACATTAGTAAAAATGTCAGTCACGGCAAAGCATTATAGATATTTAAATTAACAAGAAAACTACCTTGCAGGTGAGTGATCTTGTGCAGGGTTTCTTTGTCTCAGGATCCAATACTCCACAATGTTTATTTGGGTCAAACTCTCTTTCTGTTTGAAAATAATAATTGTAATAAAGTGAGAGGGTTTTCTCCCTTTTTTTATAAAAAAACCCCTTAGCATGTTTAAAGTGACACGAAACAAAAACTAAATACACTTTAATGGTGCAGATGAGAATAAATATATAAAGATATTGTACTTTTCCTTAACACATTCTGGTTTTTAGCATACCTACATCAAGGTATGATGCTTGCAGACAACAGATTCACAGACACTTCACTCTCACACAGAAACTTAGCAAGATTCCTATCTAGTTAGTAACAAAGCTACTTTCTCTGTTCCGCTCCGCTTCTTGAACTGAAGCTTGAAAACGACCCCAACAGCATCACCTATGCCATAACACGGAGCATTTAATGTAGCAAAGGGAACAGCTGGTGCAGGCCTGCTTTCCATACTGTTCTTGTGTAACGGATGGATTTATTAGCACTTCACTAAGCTCAATATGAAATGTAATGAAAGACCTGGAGGAAGAGAGATCGATGGAGGTTACAGGCTTCTTGCTATGGGCGTAGGTGTGCAGAAGAACTCTCATACCTGTTAGAAGGCATGTGAAACTATTCTTTTCCTTCTCTCCATTTCCTGTGGCTTCGACAAAACGAGCTGCGTGTCCTAACTGCTCTATCAAAAAAGTATGGGCTACTCTTAGGATCAAAGCAATGGTCAATCATCCTGTTTTGGTTACACTTGCCTTGGGCTAGATCAGAGCTGACAAAGCCACTTCCGGCCTGCCCAAGAGGTGGGGTTGCGGGCTTCACGCCCACTCCATGTGAGCGGGGGCTGGTTTCAGCCCCCGTGAGAGCAGGGGAGTCCCGGCTGCGTCGTCCACCCAGCCAGCCAATCGGGTGGCTGGGGGGGCGTGGCCTGCCCTATTTAGGGCCGGCATGGGCGGGTCTCGGCCTCTTTTGCCGGCAGGAGACTCCCCCTCTATGTTGTTAATGCTTCCCGTGTCTCCAGCAAATGGGCTGGAGCCGGATAGTCGATAGGACCAATGCCTAAGCCAATTGTTTCCTGCTTGGCAGGGGGTTGGACTCGATGGCCCTTGTGGTCTCTTCCAACTCTATGATTCTATGATTCAATGCCTCTCATTCCTGAATTCAATAAAGTTGTGGCCTAATTCGCCCATTTAACCTTAAATTATGGTGTCTTGTGTGTTTATTTATCCTTGGTGGGGGGCGGGAACTAGCCATGCAACACGAAGTCCACAGGCCACGATCTGGCCTGCTAAGGGTTTTCAATCAGCTCACATGCAGTAGCTTACCTGTTCACTCTTCCAGCCAGGCAAAAAGTTTTACAGAGCCAGGAATAGGGAACCTCTAGCTTCCAGATGTTGTCTTACTACAGCTCCCATCAGGAGTGCCAGCTTGGCCCAGTGACTGTGGGTGCCCAGGGCCTTGGGTGCCATGCAGTGCGCATGGCCCTGGCACCAACATTTGTGGGTGCCCGGCTCCTTCATGGGGACTTTTGTCGGTGCCCCAGGGCGCCAGGGAGTTGGCACCTATGGCTCCCATCATCACTGCCTGTACTGGTCAATGGGAGTTGAAGAAAATTAGCGTTAGGTAGAGCCATAGGCTCCCCACTTAAGGTCAAGGATTGGACCCAATCTGCATGTACAAAGACATCATAAACATGAAAAAGTGTTTCCCTAATACAGAACAGCGTTTCGATCCTGCCATTTAAACAAAGCACAACACTAAATTTAAGTATGTGCCTCTCAAGGTATGTCATTCAAAAACAGAACAGATATGCCCCTTTCTCAATCTGCAAAGGTCAGAGAGTTCTTGATCACTGATCAAAGCGTGAGTAGTGAAATTTATGGGATCAGAAGACTTTCCCACAATAAAATGCGTCATTTTTACTATTACATAACAGCCAAGAATATGATAAGAATTATCAGGATGGTTCAGAGGATCATTTTCTACCAATTTCTTGCCACTTGCAACTTTTGGCAGACTGCATGTTAAAGGTCTAGCATAAGCTCTTACGAATGGTTGCAAACACTCCTGAATATGGCATAATTATGCACTAATTACAAAGATCTTTCTTGTGTTTATTTTGTTCTATTTCTCCACCAAGGTTTGGGGTTTTGTTTTTTTTTTTGCTTCGTTTTTAATGTCAGGAGAAAAGCATACACCATAGCTTGCTCATTTGGATGCGATTGCAAGCTATGGTTTGCCCAAAACTGAAGTCAGTGAGGGAACTGGAGTGCATGAGGGACAAGGGAACATGCAAGCCCAAGACTTGCTCATGTAATGCCAGATCACAGTTTGGTATTACATGTTTAACAGGTCATTTAATTGTGCTCCCTTACTAACTGTGGTAAACATACGTTCCCAACTTTGCTTTCTGACATTCTTTAAAATATTGTTCTGCCCTTAATCTTGTCTCGGTTACACATACCCAACTCCTTCAGCCTTTCCTTATATGACTTGCCTGCTGGACCTTCTGTCACCCTCATCACAGAATGCTCTGAACTTTTCCTCTTTGTTGACAATGTTCTTTCATTGTGGCACCTAGTGCGGAACACCATACTCCAATTGGGGACCAGCCAATGCTGAGAAAGAGGATACTATTCATTTACTCCGTATAGCATACCACCCACAGCCTTTACTATCAAACCAACATTGCCTCTTCGCTATCATCCCTGGGCAGAGGATGTTGTGCACTTAAACTGAGAGAAACATGGAGAGGTATTCTCAGATGAGTGTTCCACAACTGGGGAACTCCTCCTGTCGGCCTATTAAAATTTGAGTCTGTAAGATACCCGTTTCAAGTAACCAACAGCTATACTTCAGCTGGTAGGTGAGGACCCACAACTAAGTCAGAGTAAGAGAAGAGATGAGGGTTGCAACCCCAGAGTCGTCCACGACTGGACCTAACGGTCAGGGGTACTTTTACCTTTAAGAGAAGGTGACTCTCACTGCTTGCACTAACATCCAAACACATGCATGGTAAAAAATTAAGAAGAGACCCCCCCCAATCATGAAAGTTGGGGCCAAAAATGAGTGCCAGATCTGTGATGCGAGTACTATGCAACACATAATAAAGTCTAGGAGGACAGGAAGCTGCTATTATTAGACTAATGCTATGGTGGGAAGTTCATCTCTTCTTAGAACATCTATATAACTATGCTAATACGAATGTGTACATTCAAATACCTATCAAACCAATTACTGTTTAGTATTTCTAAGGTATTAATAAAACGTGCCAAATAACCATTAATGTTCAAATACTATCTTTCAATGTTCTTTTATGGCACAGGCCTGCTAAAAGTCAATTCTTTGAGAAAAATAAAACTTCCTGGAAAGCTTTTCACTCATTTCATAGAAGCATCACAGTGCTGAACGACAAGGGCGCACAGTCTTGAGCCAAATCCCCCTGTTGCTGCCTTTGAACTAAACCACTAAAATGAGATAATGAAAGCTATACATATACGAAGTAATCTGAATTGTCTGCTAGAAAGACAGCATCCATATTTGTGCATTTCCCATTTATTTGATCTCTCATTAGGGAGTTACCAGTTGGGCTTGTCCAATTGCAAAAAGACACTGCAGCTTTGAAGCAACATGCATAGATCCATAATAACACAAAGCAGCTGTATAATCAAAGGGGGTGAGTGGATAACTTCCTTTGTACAAGAGCTAGTATTTCAGCACACACAAATTTCTCCAGAATTGTAGTTTCTCTCCCATAATGTTAAGCGCTAATACTTTACTCAGGCATTGTGTACATTTCTCCCCCAACATTTGAACAAAGATGACTTGATTGTTCAGCATTGCTTTCTCACCTCAAATGTTTCTTAATTCTCATTTATTTTTCTCGCTCACACAACTCTCAATTCTAGACTTGCATCACTATGAGATTCTATTTTCTGGTCCTCCTTTTTCTGACCTTTGTCCTACTCTCAGTTCCTTTCTTCACTTGAATTGCTCTGAATATTCTCCCTTTTGTCTCGATTTACCACTAACTTTCTTGCTTTCAAGCATCTTCGTACCTTTGGACCGCTACACCTTTCCTATTTCTCCTTCTTCCACCACATTCTCCATTCTCCCATTAACCTTCCTTCTTAAATCTATCCCTTTCCTCCGGAGGTCCACTTTATGTTCCTTCCTTTTTAAAAAACCAACCCGTTGAAAATAATCATTTCCTAAGCGTCCCATGGTTACTCCTCCTTTCACCCTCTATTCCTTTGTCTTGTTCTATTCCTTATCTTTCAAGTCTATCATGGCTACGAGCCCAGAGCCAGTGATTATCTTTACTTTTCAAATTTTATGCATTGTCCAGATTTTAAGCGCTGAAAACAAACAAAACACATTTTTAAAAAATCACATTCTTTCCTATATCAAGGACCAAATGGAATTGTACAAGCAACATTCCTGCATTAGAAGACGTTCTATCTTCTGGTCACCATCAGTACACATGAAATGATCTTTACTTCTTTAAGTTTTTAGGAGTACAGTAATAAGTCAACAGTTAGTAGTTTATACAGTGCATGATTGCCAGTTGAAATGCAATGAGCAAAGCTATGTGTCATTACAACAAGCTTTGTTCCAACAAAGGCATGAATATTCACATGAAGGGAATGCTGACAAATGAGACAAGTAAAGGACACTTACCTTTATCCAAGAGAGAAGAAGTAGTAGCATTTCTCATTTGTGCAAACCAATTGCTTTTTTTTGCTTGTTCAAATTTGGGAACACTGGGTTAGTTCCAGAGGTTCCCGCCTTCCACTGGGGCAAGGCAATATTCAGATCCAAATCCATTTTATTTAAAAACCGCTGAAGGGAAGAGCAGCCAACGCCTCCTTTATGAGATAATCCTGTTTGATTTTTACAGAATTTGTTCCTTAGTTCTCTCCTACGTTATATTAGGTAAAGGACCCCTGACCATTAGGTCCAGTCGTGACCGACTCTGGGGTTGTGGCGCTCATCTCGCTTTATTGGCCGAGGGAGCCGGCGTACAGCTTCCGGGTCATGTGGCCAGCATGACTAAGCAGCTTATGGCGAACCAGAGCAGCGCACAGAAATGCCGTTTACCTTCCCGCCGGAGCGGTACCTATTTATCTACTTGCACTTTGACGTGCTTTCGAACTGCTAGGTTGGCAGGAGCTGGGACCGAGCAACGGGAGCTCACCCCGTCGCAGGGATTCGAACCGCCAACCTTCTGATCAGCAAGTCCTAGGCTCTGTGGTTTAACCCACAGCGCCACCCGCATCCCCTACGTTACGTTTTGCAAAATTAAGAAATAATACCAGAACACCAATATAAAGTGTGAGGCAAGTTGTGCTTCGGTATTGACGCATAAACAGATTTGACATGTGGGCTGAGATCACCATTATGTAAATAATAGCTATGGGATATAATAAATAGCAACAAACGCTACTAACGAAGAATGATGGGATCTCATCAAGTCATGCTACAATGCTACTTACCTGAAACTCTCTTGTAAGACTTGTTACTGTTTTTAGTGCCGTTTTGGTGTTTCTTGTCTATTGATGGAGCTATGACGCCTTTGCCATTCAAAATCTTTTCTGGCGATGGTGGCACCGATTTACATGTCAAAGCAGATTTAATTGGAGTGGATGTGGTAGATGAAGAGGCCGAGGAGGTGGAGCTGGTGGTAGTGGTTGCAGAGTTCATTTTAACATTGGCACCATCTGCCTTCACTAGGTTAGGAATTTTCTCTAGACTGACTACGGGAACAGGAACACTGAAACACCAAAGAGAAAGTCTTCAAGATGTGTTTTCTGCACCATGCGACATATAGTCTCTCAACTTCCTTCCATGCTTGGTTTCACATTACAGCCACTAACCCTGGAATTAACCTAAAACCGGCACATTTAGTTATACTGTTTATTAACATGTGCGCATACTATTTTCTTAATGGCCAGTTCTAAACACAAAAATATAAGTGGTGGGATAAATATGTATTTTTAAAAACCTATCTGTACTTGTTTTTTAAAATGTTTTCTCTTTGATTATTATTATGCCTACTCTTGAGATAGTGTAAATTTATAAGGCTTACTGGCTGTATAGTGCAGGCCTCTATCACAGGGAATAAAGGTAAAGGTAAAGGGACCCCTGACTATTAGGTCCAGTCGTGACCGACTCTGGGGTTGCGGCGCTCATCTCGCTTTATTGGCCGAGGGAGCCGGCGTACAGCTTCCGGGTCATGTGGCCAGCAGGACTAAGCCGCTTCTGGCGAACCAGAGCAGCACATGGAAATGCCATTTACCTTCCTGCCAGAGCGGTACCTATTTATCTACTTGCACTTTGACGTGCTTTCGAACTGCTAGGTTGGCAGGAGCAGGGACCAAGCAACGGGAGCTCACCCGATTCGAACCGCCGACCTTCTGATCGGCAAGTCCTAGGCTTTGTGGTTTAACCCACAGCGCCACCCACGTCCCATCACAGGGAATAAAAGGAGTCAAAAGAATATTAACGTTTTCAAATTTATCATCCAAACTAAGGTGTTTGAGAGACAGAAGAGAAGTCTTAAAAGATTTTAATGGCATGCTTTTAAATATTGTCACAGCATTTAATAAATCTAACGGACCCTGAAATAGAGGACCAGAACGGAACCCCTGTGCGAAATGAATCCCACCTGTATTTCAGTTCCAAACTACTGCAAAATGTGGTACTGGGCACAAATTCAGACTCTCAAAATTGTAAGTCCTATGACTACAGAGACCTTTACTCTGTAGAAGACTATGTACACTGATCGTATTATAATAACAGATTCAGTGTTTCATGAATTAAAAAAAAGTTTTCAGACACTGTAGTGACAAATACATATTTTGAAGTGGAACTGGCAGAAGTATACAAAGCAAGCAAGAAGGATCATTGCACTCAGCTTTAAGTTCTCCTCGCTCCATTATAGTCTTGTTGCTTTATTATATTATTACCATACTTAATTTCACTTTCTGATCTCAGTCAAACTCAGAAGTAGCTTTCACACACAACACTAAAAACACATTCAGCTAATGTTGCTGATACAGGAGAAAAAGAAAAAAGGAAACTGGCATTTTTTAAGATCTTCATTGTAGGCCATTCTTTGGGTGCCCCAACTTTTACTGGTTAGACCAGAAACCTACTGCCTAGCCAATGGAAAACTATGGCAATAGAAACTGGCATTGTGAATAATTTGTGTTGATTTCAGTGCCAAATTAAAACTAACTTATTTCGAAGACTTTATAACCAAGGCTTTTCTGTTTTATAGTTATCTTGCTGATATTTTACTTATTATTATTATTATTATTATTATTATTAATCATTAATTATTTATATTATTATTTAGAGATGTGCTTTAAGTACACTTATGTTAACCGCCTTGCACACTGCCCAGTGAAAAGGGAAAATACACTAAAACAGACACAAACATTTAAAAACCCAGTGTACAGTTTAACCAATACAGATTTTACATCCACGTATGAGATTTGGTAAATGTGCCATAAGTCAAAATAGCCTGAATCATCATGCATCATTAGGACATTGAGAAGATCTTTGATTGCCAGAAATATTTCACCATCAAAATTATGGCCAGTACCTTTTGTAAAATTTCACATTAAAGTTAGCTTGTTGTAAGAAATGTTTAACCTGGTTGCTTTAAGAATTTGAAAAGGGTATTCAATTTTCCCCCTTTTAAAATACCAATTCCTTTTTTTGGTTATTCTTGTTTTCAGTACTTCAAATGTATAAATACAGAGATAGGCATAGGCAGAACAATACCATGAAGCTCCATGCCTCTCTTGTCTCTCATCAATATGCTCTCTTTTGCCTTCAACCCATATTATCTTTCTCCATGTCACGATACGCTATTCTTTCATTCATGGAAGATTTTCTACGTGCAGCATCTGTCCTGTGTTTACCAGTTTTTAAATTTCTCTACAGTTGGAAATGAGGGCTGTTGCTCCTTTAGTCACATGATGGGAGAATATTCACCGTGTTCCAATCTGTGCAGAATTTTAAAGGAGCCCAACACAGAAAACTTAGCAGAAGTGCTGTCAGGCTATCACTGCATATGAGGCCCTATTCTATCATATCAACATGGTTAAACCAGCTCTGGCTGTGTTTTAGCATCCGTTGTTGGGTGCTGGAATTTAATTATAATGGAGTTACTTTCATAGCTAATTTGTATCAGCAAAGCATATCTCTACCATAAACATGATGGCATATACTACATGGGTAAGTGAATCATTCAGAACTTTATTTTGTACAAGGGACAATGACTGAGTTTTGAAACTGGGCAACTGGCAAGAAACCTGCAAGGTCACCGATGGAAGCGAAAGCTCAGAAAAAGCTCAATATGGAGGTTAAATGGCCGAAATATTGGGAAATTTTGGAACAAGATGGAGATAGACTAAAACTGCAGAGTTTTGAGAAACTAAAGAACAAAGTGCGAGACTGGCTTCATTATTATCAGATAATGGAGGCATACAATTTGGACAAGAAAATTGGCTTCCAGGTGGAAAAATCAAAATTAGAAACAGAACTGTTAGAACCCAAAACTAAGACTTTGTCAAGGATGTATAACTTGCTGTTGAAATGGAATACTCAGGACGAAACGGTGAAATCTGTTATGATTAAATGGGCACAAGATATTGGACACAATATTATGTTTGCTGACTGGGAACAGTTATGGGCCACAGGTATGAAGTTTACGGCATGTAATGCCTTAAGAGAGAATATTATGAAAATGATATACAGGTGGTACATGACCCCAGTCAAGCTAGCAAAAATCTATCATTTGCCCGATAATAAATGTTGGAAATGTAAAGAAATTGAAGGTACATTCTTTCACCTTTGGTGGACGTGCCCAAGGATTAAGGCTTTCTGGGAGACGATATATAATGAATTGAAAAAGGTATTTAAATATACCTTCTTGAAGAAACCAGAGGCCTTTCTCCTGGGCATAGTTGACCAATCGGTGTTAAAGAAGGATAGAACTTTCTTTATGTATGCTACAACAGCAGCAAGAATACTTATTGCAAAGTATTGGAAGACACAAGATTTACCCACTTTGGAAGAATGGCAGATGAAGGTGATGGACTACATGGAATTGGCGGAAATGACTGGCAGAATCCGAGACCAGGGAAAAGAGAGTGGAAGAAGACTGGAAGAAATTTAAAGACTATTTACAGAGACATTGTAAAATTAATGAATGTTAGAATGATGTTGGATTGAAATTAAGTGGTTTCTAGCTGAAATGGTATAAAAGAATATGAAAAAATGGTTTTTTATAAGTACAAATTTAAGGTTATAATAATGTAAGATTAAAGATCTGGGTAGAATAAAGAGGGAAAGAAACTGCTCAGCTAATAAATTGAACTGGAATACAAAAAAGGGAGGTATGAGGAGGTCCGAAGAAACAAGTAAATGAAAAATAATGTGATGAAAAGATTGTTTTTAACTATTTTTATTTTGTATTTTCTCTTTTTTCTTTTTCTATTTTGTAATGTAAAAATCTTAATAAAAATTTTATATATATATAAAAAAAGAAACTTGCAAGGTCAAAGCCACAACTGATTCCGGGAAGCAGGTCCTATCTCTTAAAAACAACAACCTAAAACTGCAATCCAGTAAAGGGAGACAAAGAAGCCAGACATTAGGATGAGTAGAGATAGCCTAGTGATAAAGCTGCAGTTGAGAACGTATGGGATTGCTGAAAAGGCACCCTAGCCAACTGGAATACAAGTTGGGATGGGTCAGTTGGTAGAGCACGAGATTCTTAATTCCAGAGTTGGGGGTTCGAGCCGCACACTGGGCAAAATATTCCTGCACTGCAGAGGGTTTGGTCTTTTGGTCCCTTCCAACTGTACAATTCTATGATTCTAAGAGCTGCATTTGAGTAGATGCTGCACAGAGGCTTGAAAAATTAATCTGGATCAACCTCTCAGTAGAAACAGGATTGTTTTCTCTGCTTTAAAATGGGTTTGAGTCTGTGGTTGCTACCTTTTGCCTATAAACGACAACTTTGGAATGGATATTGCCTGTTACGTATTGAGAATTCATACTCTTGACGTTATAATCCAAGAAGAAAAAGTAGCAGACATTCCCCCAGGTATATAAAATAACTACTGGGATTAACTAATATTTCACCAGCATTTTGCTATCGCCATGTTGACATGGAGTGGGGTTCAGTCATTTTGATGTGATTCCTCCTATCCCCTCCTCAGGAAATGTCTTTTCCAAAGGAAGTCAGAATTCCTTATTAACTTGCAAAATCACATCCTCTTATTGGGTCATATACAACTAACTTTTACTCAGAGTAGACCCACAGAATTTAATGGACCCAAGTTTGGTGTCACTGAATGTGGTCCAAAGGAAAGTCTCACATTGGAAACAGCATAATGGCAGCCGAGAAAACCAGTAACGTCCCTTTCTAATATTATGTCATTTTTAAATAAGAGCAAATGAAGTAGCATACCCTCCAACATTTCTCCGATGAAAATAGGGACGCCCCATTTCATAACGATAATTTTAATATTTATACCCCACACATCTTACTGCGTTGCCCCAACCACTCTGGGCAGCTTCCAACATATATAAAAACATAATAAAACATTAAACATTTTTTTAAAACTTCCCTGTACAGGATTGCCTTCAGACGGCTCGGGGGTCGGATAACTCCACACCCTCCAACATTTCTCCAATGAAAATAGGGATGTCCTAAGGAAAAGCGGGACATTCTGGGATCCAATCAGAAATTGGGACAGCTTCTGTAAATCAGGGATGTCCCTGGAAAATAGGGACACTTGGAGGGTCTGAACTAGTGCATATCCAATCTAATTCACACAGATAAAGGAATCATCCTTTCTACTCTATATGCTACAATTACGATGCATTCAACTTTTGTCCCTTAGGAAAGAAAACTGTTCAGTAATGGGCCTTGTCAAATATTTAAAACTGCAATAAGGATACAACAGCCCATATCCTATCACACAAAGGCCTAGGGTTGCTCTTCTTCAGATGTTTCCAGGACAGAAATATCAAATGCAATATTGACAAATTATTTTTTTTTCCTAGAGAAAGTCAGAGCAAGATATGGCAATATGCTGCCCTAGGGTTAGAGGCTGTTCTAGATTATGAATTAAGGGAGGATCTATATACTGAAGACTGCCACAGGAATCCAGGACAAAGGAGACATGATGAAAAGGGCCACGACAGCTGTAAAAAATGATATAGTATATTTGACTACCTCACTGAGGTCCTAGTTTTCCAGATCTCAGGAAGTGCAGGCCCTGTTAGAGATCCTGACAGTCATTTAGCAATGCCTAAGGTTTGTTTAGGGACGCAGGTGGCGCTGTGGGTTAAAGCCTCAGCACCTAGGACTTGCCGATCGAAAGGTCGGCGGTTCGAATCCCTGCGGCGGGGTGCGCTCCTGTCGTTCGGTCCCAGCGCCTGCCAACCTAGCAGTTCGAAAGCACCTTCGGGTGCAAGTAGATAAATAGGGACCGCTTACTGGCGGGAAGGTAAACGGCGTTTCCGTGTGCTGCGCTGGCTCGCCAGATGCAGCTTGTCACGCTGGCCACGTGACCCGGAAGTGTCTGCAGACAGCACTGGCTCCCGGCCTATAGAGTGAGATGAGCGCACAACCCTAGAGTCTGTCAAGACTGGCCCGTACGGGCAGGGGTACCTTTACCTTTACCTTTAAGGTTTGTTTTGCAAGGGAGACTTCCTTCTGTACATGTGCAGAGACACTAGTATTCAAGCATGTTTTAAGTCTTTTGGCATAAAGTGCTATTAAAAAGCAGCCCCAAAGGGCTGAAAAAACAGGTCCTCATTCAGTAAAGGTAAAGGTAAAGGGACCCCTGGCCATTAGGTCCAGTCGTGATCGACTCTGGGGTTGCGGTGCTCATCTTGTTTTATTGGCCGAGGGAGCCGGCGTACAGCTTCCGGGTCATGTGGCCAGCATGACTAAGCTGCTTCTGGTGAACCAGAGCAGTGCACAGAAACGCCGTTTACCTTCCCACTGGAGGAGTACCTATTTATTTACTTGCACTTTGACATGCTTTTGAACTGCTAGGTTGGCAGGAGCAGGGACTGAGCAATGGGAGCTCACCCTGTTGCGGGGATTCGAACCGCCGGCCTTCTGATTGGCAAGGCTCTGGTTTTTGAAGATGACATTCCGTCACATGCATGGAAATCTGTTGCAGCAGCAGGGCTGAAGGGCTGGTTACAGTCCAGAATGATAGCACAAATACAACGATAAACAAAATAATTGACAGTTTGATGCCTTTTAATGGTACCCAGAAATCTACTGTATCTGCTTAAGAGCTGGTTGGGCCTGCCACTAAACAAACATTTCCTATTAATGTCAATGGGGCTGCAACATGAATTGACTGGGTTGTTTTTTTAGGTGTGCGCATATGCACATGTGTTAAGTACACCCACACCCCATAGGGCATAAATGGAGGTTTCCTGCTCTTGCGCCATGAATGAATTCCCATATGTAAATAATTCACAAGGAATTAGTCAATTATAACACCACAGGCAATTGGGCAATTGGGCAGATACAACACACAAATCATGCAGTAACAGTATTATTCTTATATACAGCTATTGTCTGGGATCCAAGTACCAAATGGGGAATTCTATACTTCCAGCTGTGCTCCTGGAGCTCCTCCTCCGAAGAGCAACACCTGGAATCCAGGGGAAATTTTGGAGCAACCATCAACACAGCACAAGGAACTAAGGAGAGGCAGGAAAGTCTTGGGTGCGCAAATTCAGGATCCTAAGTGTGGTAGCACTTGTCCTCAACAACAGGAAGGCACCTGCAGTATTGGCATTGAAGTACCTGCTTAAAACTCACCTGTTCACTCAGACTTTCTTTGAGGGATAATTCAACTATGTTGATAAATTCATTTGAGCTACTAATTTGTGCTATCTTTGTTTTGTGGATATAATCTGATTGTTTATTTTATGTCATTTTGTGGTACACCACAAAAACAATATGTCCATCTTGTGATTTTCTATTTAACACACACACACACACACACACACACACACACTACTCCAACGCTAGAAGAGATCCATTATTCAGCCACATATTAAATTTCCGTGCCTGTTTTATAAGAAATATGGAGAAGAAAAAAACCCCCAACAGTTTTCCAGAACAGTGACTTACCAAGGTTTATCCCTTGATACTTTCGAAGAAAAGACCATGTGCTGTTTGCTAGTGGAGGTAATTAGATTGTCTTTGGGCGTTTTGAATGGCTTTGAGTTGTTATTGACAGGGTTATGGCCGCTGATACAGGATCTCGGTTTCATCTGTATAAATGATGCCCTGGAATTGCAGGGTGGAGAAGCTGGAGATGGGGAAGGCTTACACATTGAACCGTGTCTTCGTTCTAAAGCAGCGACGGGAAAAGCCAGAGACAATGAATAGGCAAGACAATGGCAGCTAGGTAAGAAAAAAAGAACGAAACCCAAGCAGTATAGAAACCATAAGCCCAAAGCATCCCGAATAAAACTGATTTGCTATTAAAACATTATTTATACTATAATATATATTATAATATATAGACGGCCAAAATAGAAATGGAGTACAGTGCCACACTGAGTGCTTGGTGAATCAATGCTAATGGTTATCTTGAGCTGGCACTGAAATACAGTCCTTGGAAAAGCCAAAGGGAAACCAAGTGGGACTCTTATGTCTGATGAGTGGGCTGGTTTGCAGGTATCTTCGGCCTAGATACAAGCTGTATGGATAATAAATAGAATTTTCCTTATGCATACTCAAAACATATCCGCACCTCTTCATTCTGTGCTATTCAGCTTAATAGGGTGGCCGAATAATTACACAACAAAGCTACATTTCTCTCACAAAAATAATTCCCAACATTCCCTCCCCCCCAAGTCTTGTTTGTAGACTTGTAATTAAGAATAGAGAAATGTTGAGACTAGGGCAAATAATTTTAGATGTGGTGGCAATTCCGATGATCTTAATGGCACATTTTTCGAATAAAAAGAGAACAGCCAAGGAAATGGCTGCTGTACATATATGTCATCATGTGATCCCATGCTTGAGCAGCAGAAAATAAAAGTAACTGGCTCACAGATCAGTTACAATCTTTGAAACAGTCCTAAACTTTTTGTCCTGACTTCCTGTGCCTGTTAGCAAACACAAAATGATGTACTGTGATATGCAAAACTTCAAATTTCAGCCTTTTCATTTGCTCATGATTTGATCTGCAGTAACATTTTGCACTTACTCGTTCTCATTAGGGACCATTAATTACCACATTTATAGGAAATGCCAGATCCTATCTTTGCAACGGGGAAGAAATTGAACTAAGAACTGAATCTGTATGAACTGCCTAAGTGTTTATACTGATCAGTATTTAACTATTTATATTAACGGTCATAATCAATTAAAAACAAAAGGGCAAGAAAGACAACATTAATTCCTTCTTCAATCCTTCAGCAAAATTAAAGTGAGAAGCCCATGGACCTTAAAGGTCACATTCTGTCCGACCAATACAAGGGGAAAGGCGCTCAATGTGTCAGAGTCAAGGGCCTCTCTTAAGAATGCACTCTCTTCCATTCCTTAGCATATGCACATATCAAATGTCTAAGCTGATCTCACTGGCTGTACAGTCTCAGGCATGCAAAAGCCAATACCTCGTTATACATTTAATTCACATACACCAACGTTAAAACTGTGTGGATTAGCTTCATGTCAACAGATTATGAAGTTTGATAATCGATCTTTAATAGCAACATGATCTCAACCACTCAAAAATGCCCAGTGCTTACTAGAGCTCTTAAAAAGAACACAAGCCAAGTATCACAAGTAACGTTGCAAACATTAGAGAAAAGAGATAAGAAAACAGGAATGTGTGAGAAGAACAATGCCTAGAAGAATGAATATTTATGCCTTTATATTATCGAAATCTAGCATATCAGATTGTGTTTATTCATGCCACAGTCTTCAGCCAATAATTTGTGCATATGCCGGAAGAAAGTTTTGTCATTCCTGTTTATTGTCCAAGGTTGTTTATTTGTATTGAATTTTGAACTTTGTGATTACCCAAGTCACCATATGCTACAGTGGTCAGTTATTCAGAGAAAAACACAAAAAGGTGAGAGCCAAGAACTCCAAATTATTACTATGCTTTCGTATTTCCCCCCAGCCTTACAGATTAATCGCTGATTGGAGTGAAACAAGTCATTATCATCTCAGGATAAAGAATCATATGAAAAGCCCTAGGAACAACAAATGCAAAAAGGCAGGAAGTGAAGTAAATTTCAGTTGCGCAGCCACAGGATGCTAAGTCAGCGGCAGAAGAGTAGAAATGAGTTACTAAAGAAAAATCTATAAAAGGAACTTGGTGGGCTAAGAATTCGACCACTTCAACCCCATTTCTGCTTATTAAAGCATTCTTCCTTACTGGACCAACCATAAAAGGACTGCTGAGCCCCTTTTTGGTGCTTAAAAATAGAAAACTTTTCTTAAGATATGCTTCCACTGCCAAAGCAATCAGGCCAGTGTCCCCCCCACCCTATCAGATCATGTGTGGTTCATTAAATGTATTGTCTTTATCGCCAACAACATTCTGTTGCAAATAATCATAGCTGCATCAGGGCAAGAGTTCTCCTATGCAATGGTGGTGGCCAGTAAAAACACCAGCATAATATGGCAAATCTGATAGTACCAGCCTTGCTGCCTAATCAGTGGGATAAGTTTCCTCTCTCCATTCACAGTTAGTATATTAAGAGAGCTTAGAATTCCTCCATTGATATTCTGTCTTTTTAAAACACCTAACATTTTTTTGAAAGCTCTCTATAAAATATAAGACTTGGACCAGGCAGTGCTATGATGTCATTATGTTCATTGCATGATCCCTGATTGGCATGGACTATGCCGTGAAGAAGCCCTTTAAAATAAAATGAGACAGCAGCAGTAATTCAACAAATAATGGTTGCAAATAAGGTGCAAAAAATGCACGAAGTAACTGAAGGGAAGGTGTGCAGTTTGCCAGATTCTTCTAACTTACTGAAAGGGCACTTTTTACATTGAAAAATGAGCCTCATGAAAATACAGCATAGCGTTATATGAAACCCTACAGGTCACCATGGCCTTCCCAACATTTAAGCGCTCAGAGAGTGCCAGATATGGGGACATAACTCTGTGGGCAGACAAAATACTGGGAGGAAAAGAAGAACAGAGGCAACAAAAATTTTACTTGTCTCAGGCAGGGTTACTGAGATAGAGCTCAAGATCCCCAGTGAAAACTGGAAAACCAGGCCACCACTAACCCAGCTAGAAAGCTACTTATCAATGTTAGCTTACAAAATTGAAAACCAGAGACTCAGAGCAAGGTAGGGACTCATTTACAATGGTGTTAATGTGCTACTGCAATGTGCTTCCTGTTAATATCACAAAACTATAGATTGACACACTTCATTCGGAATTTTCATTAAGCATGCAACCAAACTGATTTCGTACAGGCAATACCCGTCATAAGTCAACGACTTTGTAGGTTACTATCTTAGTAACTGATATGACGTATGCTTCCAGTTTAAAAGGCTTAAACATTAAACCAAATGCCAAGAATATTTTGATACAAAAAAGCATACTCTTGTAATGAGCCAAATAACTTGAGTCATTGGGAAGATTAGGGATAACAGGCAGTTACTTCACAGCCAATCGCCATAAACACCTTGCTAAACACTTTCATTTTCCTTGTGACAAAGTCTAGCACACGCTGTTGTCCATTAAATTAAATAACAGAAAGGAAGGAAGGGAGAGGGAAAGTCTGCTAACAAATTAGAGCGTTGTAGGAGTGGTAGAAAATGCCCAAAGAAAAATGTATAACCTGATAGAGTTGGATAAACATAGTTTCAAGTTTGGTTGAAAACAATCTTCAAACTGAATCCACTCCAATTGTATTTGCACTGTTGAAAAGGAAATGGCAGAGAGTTTAGCTTTGGCTCTTCGTGTAAACTGACAAAGGAAACAGACTGCCGGGTCGAAGAAGAGTACTGATGTTTTTGATTTTAAAAAAAAAGCAATTTAAGAAACTTGTTAACTCCAGAGACATTACTGGAAAACAATCAGCTGAAATACCCACCAAGTTGCACTTTTCCTGTATTGGTTACACACATTGTCTTCCGACATAAAACAGCTAAAACCTCCTCATTTCTGCTGGGGAGGGGGAAATCAGCAAGAAGACACAGTACACAAAACAGCTTGCTAGAAGAAATTGTGAACTAAAAGGACTTACACCGAGGCCCAGTCTGCCAAGTTAATCCAATTCTAGGGCGACTGTAAACAACTTGTACTGCTGGAACATGAAATGATTCACGTTACGGACACTGTCAGAGAATGACAGCGATATGATTAAGTATTCTGCAAAGGCTGGAAACGAGGCAGGCGACTCTGCTCCAGTAAGCAGCACGCTTGCAGCCGCCAACTGTTTTGACTACAGACACAAAACACCATCCCGAACCAGGTTTCACACCCAACCAGTTAGACAATATAACTTTTTAAACAGCTTAAAAAAGAGAAAGACAACTACCATGCATTATCAAAGGAAAAGACTCCGCACATTAATAAAGTTTTGTTGGTGGCAAATCTCAAGGTGACCAAGTAGGGATGGCAGTAAACTTACCCCCCAATTACCATGGCCTTTTGCATTTTGAAAACAAAGCTCAGGCCTACCACACAATTAGGTACCGTCTGTGTACAATGTAGCTTAGCATTGGCCAGCAACTCTGTTGTTCAATCAGTCAAGAGACCATTATTTCTTTTTCTGCTGTCGAAAGTTTATTCACTGCTCAGTGTTTCTCAAGCTTGAGTGACCAGCTGTTGTTGGACTACAACTCCCATCGTCACTGACCACTGGTCCTGCTAGCAGGGATGATGGGAGTTGTGGTCCAATAACAGCGGGGGACCCAAGTTTGAGAAACACTGTGCTACATATTTTGGTGAGTTCTGCAACCAATCAATATTCATAACAACTATTTCATTTGCTGCACAAACATACGAAACTGTCTTATATGGTGTAAGATTATTGGTCCAGATATTCCTGGACTTCAACTCCCATAATTCCTGAACAATGGCCATGTTAGCTGAGGCTGATGGGAGTCCAAAAATACCTGTAAGGCCACAAGTTACTTGCCCCTGCTACTATTGTGACTGGCACCAGCTCTTCAAGGTCTCAAGGAGAGGTTTTCCCCCACCTTATTACCCAAGTTTCATTTATACTGAATTAACCTATAATATTTTGCATGCAAAACATGTGCTCTACTCACTGAAATATGGTTCCTCTATAGAATCAAATACTTGGCAAAATCCAGTCAAATAACCCATTTGTGCGTTTTATGTAAACAGAGAAGTGTCATAATGCATTAAAAAAACCAACATATTACAAATGGTGACTATAGTCATTTATACACACACACACACACACACACCCGGTTCTGTTTTAACAGTGTATGCTTTATCGTTTTCCCCAATATCTACAGTTCCATAAACCAAACATTAGGAGCATCAGTGCATTAAAAAAATTCTATGAATTTATAAGAGCTTGGGAGAGTGCACCTGGGTTGGAACTGGGAGATTTGGCTACCAGACCCAGGTCCAATACATTACCCACTCGACCACAGTGATCATATCTAGGGTTGGGGAATAGATGAGTGACCCCAAACTCTGAAAGTAAAGCCATGTTCCCAACAGTCCAAAGCACGCTCAAATGTTTCTGCATGTGCACTGTGGGGTTTTTTTGTGAGCCTCCACTCCTCTCCTTGCACTGGTCTGCTCTTGAAGTTCTCCCAGTTTGCATGCATGGAGCTTCATAAACCACCGTTTGATTCCCCACTTCAACAGGCAATTAGAAGAAGCAGAGTCTATTAGCTGAATACAGGCAACTTTCCCCTTCATTCCCACTTGATGAATTTCTAACTCCCAGATGCCTTTCTCCTAAATATTTTGCCAAAGCTCCAATTCAAACTTAACTGTTACTTTTAACAAAAAGCATAAGAATGTGAAAAGCAACTTTATCCTCACCCCCCTCAAAGTACCGTATTTTTTGCTCTATAAGACTCACTTTTTTCCCTCCTAAAAAGTAAGGGGAAATGTGTGTGCGTCTTATGGAGCGAATGCAGGCTGCGCAGCTATCCCAGAAGCCAGAACAGCAAGAGGGATCGTTGCTTTCGCTGTGCAGCGATCCCTCTTGCTGTTCTGGCTTCTGGGATTCAGAATATTTTTTTCTTGTTTTCCTCCTCCAAAAACTAGGTGCGTCTTATGGTCTGGTGCGTCTTATAGAGCGAAAAATACGGTAAGTTGCAGTACTGCTTTCAACAGAAGCAAAAGTTCTCAATATGTGGTGGTGTCAGTAGCTGCTCTTTGTAGCTTATGGTTACAACACGTCCCTGTTTCCCAAAGACAGTCCCTGGATTTACAAATCTGTCCCCGGACAAAATCTGTCCCCGGAATGTCCCCGGATTTCATTTAATGTCCCCGGATTTATATTTTAAGTGTTGTAGATTTATTAGTAGGGAATGAATGTTGCATGATTGGTTCAACGGCACAAGACACATCATATGGGGACTTCCGGCGAGGCAAAATGGCGGTGTGATGGCCTGGGAATCCGATTCAGAAAGTGAACCGGAGGAATCCCAGCCTGCACAGGAGTCCCCGCCTCCAGGGCCGGCTGAACTGGGGCAGGGCCTTGATTCTGAGGAGCCTGCACCTGTGCCGGATCCTCAGGAGCAGGCACCAGGTGAATCCATTCTGGCTCCAGAGGTGGTTGAGGACTCAGTGCCTACAGGTGAGTCTCCCCCTGGGCCCAGTAACCCTTCGGCCTCTCCTGAACTGCAGAGGCTTAGGGCAGAGAGGCGAAGGGAACTGGTTTCTCCCAGGAGGAGTGCTCGCCTTAAGGCCAGGAGAGGCGGGGCTTCTGGGGGCCGGGACCGCCCCTGGCCTCAGAGAAGATAAAGGCCAGTCAGCCCGGTCCCAGGTTGCGGGAGCAACGTCGTCATTGAAGAGCTGTTTCGGCCAGCATCCAGTCCTGTTCCACCAGTGTTCCTGTTCCCCGCCCGGCTTCCTGCTTCTGACCTTCCAGCGTTCCTGTTCCCCGCCTGGCTTCCTGCTTCTGATCTTCGAGTGTCCCTGTCCCCGCCCGGCTCCCTGCTTCGGACCTCGCCTCGCACCTTGTGAACTACCAGGCTAGTGACTCAGGACTGAACTTTGACTACGGTAACAGTAACCTTCCCCCTGGGACCAGCACAGGCGGGCGCCATGGCAGCGAGCAGCTCCTGAAGCCAGCCAGAGCCAACTGCACTACCAGGCTAGCCCCAACCTTGCTGCGCCGCCGCCACTGCTGCTGAGGAGAGGTAGGAGAGCACTGGGAGGGCAGGGACTCGTGGCTGAGCCCAGGCCTGACCCAAGCCTCCTCCACAGCTGCTAGCGCTCCAAGAGAGCAGTCTGGGGCCCAGGGGAAGGCCGCGCGACAGAGGAGACCACAAAAGAGAAGATATTTTAAAAAATATTTTTAAAAAACATTAAGAAGTAATAACTTTTTTTTTCCTCTTTCAAAAAAATAAAGTGTCCCCGGATTCTTTGGAAAAAATCTGGTAACCTTATTGTAGCTTGCTTTGTAATTATTTGACAACGGAAACTACAGAAATGGCTTGAGACTGAAGGGTTAAAATTAAGGGGTGGCATCTGACAAAATCATATGCAGAACAGACCCACTGAAATCACCCTCCTTCCCAAAGCCTAGTTGGTGCTTTTCCAGCTTTGGGAAGGCGGTGGGAGGGCCTAGGACGCTGCCAGAGCCTCGTGCCTCCTTTTCAAAGACTGACACTTCACTTAGCTAGCTTTGGGAAAGCAGTGAAAACAGTGCAAGGACTGGGGTGTGTGTGTCAAATTCTGGCCTTGCTCCCCCCCCCCGAATGCACAACAAGGCAGCACGTGGCCCGCGGGTTCCATGTTGATCTAAAAAAGTTGGGTCGCCCTGCTCCAGATCACCTTCAAAAGGTATGGCATAAGCATAAAAGGTAAAGGTACCCCTGCCGGTACAGGCCAGTCTTGACAGACTCTAGGGTTGTGCGCCCATCTCACTCAAGAGGCCGGGGGCCAGCGCTGTCCGGAGACACTTCCGGGTCACGTGGCCAGCGTGACATCGCTGCTCTGGCGAGCCAGAGCCGCACACGGAAACGCCGTTTACCTTCCCGCTAGTAAGCGGTCCCTATTTATCTACTTGCACTCGAAGGTGCTTTCGAACTGCTAGGTTGGCAGGCGCTGGGACCGAGCAACGGGAGCGCACCCCGCCGCGGGGATTCAAACCGCCGACCTTTCGATCGGCAAGCCCTAGGCGCTGAGGCTTTTACCCACAGCGCCACCCGCGTCCCAATGGCATAAGCATAGCCCGGAGGAAAAGCTTGGAAAGGAGGGGTTTGTATGGATAGGGAGCAGCAAGCAGGGCAAGGGTTAAGCACCACCTTCTCCCACAGAGCCTCCCCATCATATCACCTACATTAGTCAGCAGACATGGCAAAGGAACACGACCTGCCAAGGTAATATGCAGTCCCTTACTCAGCTTCCTCCAGACCATTGTGTGCAGCCTGCACACACACAAACAAGCAACCAAATCAGCCCAGAAATCCCCTGACCGTATTTGTTACTCATCGCCGATGAAACTCCGGTTGCACCTCACAAGTGGGCACTGCCAACTAACTACAGAAAGAGAGAGCCTGTGCTTCTCTCTAATTTGGTAAAATAAAATAAACAGGGCTCTAGAGAATATAAAAGTAATTCCAGGCGGAAGGAGAACGCCAGCCTGCAACAGTCACTCTTGTAACAGAAAAAAACAAACCCTTGAATAACAACTAATAATAAATTAAATGTACATTGCTCCTCTTGGGAAAGCCATCAGGTGATTATCAAGCGTGGAACAATAGATCTATTATTGGATATATTTTTGTCCACGTATGACATGCTATGAAATAAATCTGTTTCAAATCTTATTCAGTTTGGGGAGGGGGCAAGGAGGGGAGAGGGGAAAGCTGAAATCTGTTTCTACACCTTACTGAGCAACACTGTCGGATGAGATTCATACAATTCTGGAAAGTTTGCTCTCATTTGCTCTGCTACTTGCTGCAGTGTTTGTGAACCAAGAAAGGCAACAGTGCAGGTTAAAATTTGAATCCAATTTTAAAAGTGTTCTAGGACACCAGTTAATTCGCGGGCTAAACTTCCAAGTGAGATGGCAAGAATTACACCTGCAAAAATGAAAGCATTTGACTGCAGCTTTCTACTACTGATAAAGCCTCCTTCAGATCCCAGAAGAGGCCAATAGCTGCAAGGCCAAATATGTAATGATATGATCTCCCTCTGCTGGCTATGTATATGCAAGCAGCTGAGAAGCTATGAAAATCTGAGTGTTCCAATAGAACGCTTTTCAAACGACAGGGGGAAAAAAGCTAAATTAAGTTATTGCCACATTGGGAAATTGGGGTGCGGGTGGCGCTGTGGGTAAAAGCCTCAGCACCTAGGGCTTGCCGATCGAAAGGTCGGCGGTTCGAATCCCCGCGGCGGGGTGCGCTCCTGTTGCTCGGTCCCAGCGCCTGCCAACCCAGCAGTTCGAAAGCACCCCCGGGTGCAAGTAGATAAATAGGGACCGCATACTGGAGGGAAGGTAAACGGCGTTTCCGTGTGCAGCTCTGGCTCGCCAGATGCAGCTTTGTCACGCTGGCCACGTGACCCGGAAGTGTCTCCGGACAGCACTGGCCCCCGGCCTCTTGAGTGAGATGGGCACACAACCCTAGAGTCTGTCAAGACTGGCCCGTACGGGCAGGGGTACCTTTACCTTTTACATTGGGAAATTAAATAGCCTTTTCCTCCTGTTCCTGCACTGAAATTCCTGAATAAACCCAGGGGCCGTGCAAAAATACTAAATTGAATGTAACAGTGGTCAGAGTTCCTCAGCTATGGTGTGAATAATTTCAATCCACACACTGTCTTGCAGGCACACATATTTGGAAAGACATCCCCCAGCCTCACTACTCCCCTCATATCTCTAGCATGCTACACAACTTTCTTAAAAGAAAAGAAAAATAGCTGAAAGGCGTGAAAGGAAGACATCCCATGCTGGACACCGGCATCATCCAAAGGTGCCTGATGAAAGATTCAGCCACAACATAATAGCAAGCAAACAACTGTAAGAGATTTACAGCCATACCTATATGGTCTATGGTTTGAAGAAGCACCTTAACATTGTGCATTTTGAATTTCTTTTCCCATTCTAAAAAAAAATTCTAACTCTTATCTACACCTCATTCCTAGATCTCTTGACGAGATAAAGGTAAAGGTAAAGGGTAAAGGGGCCCCTGACCATTAGTTCCAGTCATGGCCGACTCTGGGGTTGCGGCGCTCATCTCGCT